AGGTATAAGAGAAAAGAAAAGAGAGAGAGAAGATATAGAATGAGACAGAAAGGACAGGAAGAGAGAAAGAGAAAGAAAAAGAGAAGGAAAGAGAAAGTATAGAATGAGACAGAGAGAAGGAAAGAAAGGACAGGAAGAGAGAAAAGGAAGGAGAGAGAGAGAAAGAAGGTATAAGAGAAAAGAAGAGAGAGAGAAGATATAGAATGAGACAGAAAGGACAGGAAGAGGGAAAGGGAAAGAGAGAAGGGAAGAAAGGGAGAGATGTCTAATAGGACTGAGTCAGGATGGTGGAGTCTGCCAGATGGCTGAGTCTTCATACCAGAAAGGCTGGCCTACACAGTTATCTCCAATTACCATGTCCTCACCCACCTGGGAAGAAACAAAAGTCCCTTACCAACTTGCTTGGCCAGTACTACTACATTCCTAAGCTTGGGTCCATCACAGCAACCATCTGTGCTGCCCCTGCCCGGTTGCCAAGTGTGTGCCAAACATAATGCAGCCACATGCCCTAGGCTGGCCCCAGGCGTCTCCCTTTGACCGAGACACCTGGATGGCAGAGCAGGACTCAAAAGACCCACTAAAGATCTGCCTCTGATGCAGTGACCTGACCGGACTGATTTCCTATATCCCCATTGGCTTATCAGGACTGCTGGCCCTACTACTACTAGGCATTGGACTTTACTCCGTAGCCCCCCAAGATTGGGGGATGGGTAAAAGATTGTGTTTTGTCATATTGTATTAGGCTATAGCGGGGCTCCTATTTCTGATTTGGATATTCCTATAGACAATCAATTTAATACGGGATACAGGTTATTGATACAAGAGACAACTAAAAGTTTTAACATTGGTTTCCTCACACATAAATACTCAAAACCCATGTTCCCCTTCTTGTAACAATGTAAGTAAAATAGATGTTTAAAACAGACAATTCAAAATTTCCTGCTGCTTAAGTTTTTCACCAAAATTTAAAGTTACTAAAAATAAGAATTCTGGTCAATGCTTGTGATTCTGTACATGGGGTATACCAATGAATAGGATGTGTTTTGAAAGAGGCATAAAATGTGTTGAAAACATTATATGTGTAATTTTGTCTAATTCAGAGGTTGTTTGGATTGATCCAATGTATGGATTAGAAGGGGAAATTTTAAAAAGCCAAGATAGAAGGTAACTAGTAAGGTGCAGAAAGATGTAGAAAGCCTATGAGTATGGAAATGTATTTTTGGTAAGAAAGATTGAACAGAGAGGGGATGGTTTTGTGTGGGAAAGGATCTTGTGTGGAGAATTTTTGTCCTGGAACAGAATGGCTGGTAATTTGGGAAAGAGGAAATTTAGGACAAAAAAAGAAAGTCTGAGCATGTTGTAGATGGTCTGTGTAGGTTGTGATGGTGTTCACAGAGAAGAATTTATGAAAGAATTTTGTGTATGGTTGAGTTGGCCATAAACAATTGAAAAGGTTTTGGTTAAAATTACAAGGTTTTCTTAAAATATTGATTTGCTCTTAATTTTCATATAGAAACTACAGTCACCCTAGGGGCTACAGCCCACATTATGGCCCTCCAAGTATACTGTCTACTAAACAATTTAGGTGATGCCCTCTAATGCAGTGACGATAGCCACAGCACATTTAGGGGCATAGAGAGGGGGGAATGTAAGGGAGAATTTTTCCACTCCCTTCCTAATAGTGCATAATTGCTAACTAGCATGAACAACTGTAGAGTGACCTTTGACTAGATTTCAATCTTGTGCATAACGGCAAAAAACATGACTAAGTAACTATAGAGTAATACGTGACTAGACCACGGGCTTGTGCAGACTTTGTATCCATTTGCTTCTGTAACATAAAAAAGTCACTAGGAGAAAAAAAAAAAAGTCACCAGACTTAGACCCCATTTTGCTCAGAATTTGGGGGGGAGACCTTTCTGAACCCCCCCCCCGTCATAATAAAAGCCCATTTTGTAGTACTCTCGTGTGGCTTTCGGTTGTTTCCCTGTCTTGTTTGCTGTAACACTACTTACTTTATTACTACCTAAAGCATTACGTAAGTGACCGTAATTTAAAAGTTCATTTAAAATCAGACCTGGGCCAGCTTATGCCTCTAATCCTGGCACTCTGGAAGGCTGAGGAGGGAGGATTGCTTGAGCTTAGGAGTTTGAGACCGGCCTGAACAAGAGTGAGACCCTGTCTCTACTAAAAATAGTAAAAATTAGGCCGGGCGTGGCAGTATCCTAGCACTCTGGGAGGCTGAGGTGGGCAGATTGCTCGAGGTCAGGAGTTCAAAACCAGCCTGAGCAAGAGTGAGACCCCCCCCTCTCTACTATAAATAAAAAGAAATTAATTGGCCAACTAATATATATAGAAAAAATAGCCAGACATGGTGGCGCATGCCTGTAGTCCCAGCTACTCGGGAGGCTGAGGCGAAAGGATTGCTTGAGCCCAGGAGTTTGAGGTTGCTGTGAGCTAGGCTGACGCCATGACACTCACTCTAGCCTGGGCAACAAAGCAAGACTCTGTCTCAACAAAACAAAACAAAACAAAACAGTAAAAATTAGCCAGGTATGGTGGTGCACACCTGCAGTCTCAGCTACTCTGTAGGCTGAGGCAAGAGGATTGCTTGAACCTAGGAGTTTGAGGTTGCTGTGAGCTAGGCTGATGCCATGGCACTGTAGCCCGGGTGACAGAGACTCTATCTCAAAAAAAAAAAAAAAAAAAAAAAATCAGATCTGATTTTCTATTTACTACCACCACCACCACCAGAGAAGGGACAGGGTTTGAGGCTAGAAAAGTAGTTAAAAAAAACCTACCAGAACAGTTCGCTTTCAGCACTTGTCCACAGCTGATTCAAGTTTTAACATCTTGTCTATTTTCTCAGGCCACAGTCCAGACCCTCTTCCCACCCCCAGTACCCCAATTTCTTTCTTTTCCTTTTCAAAATAAGAGGAAAAAATTGGTCTCCTCCACTCTAGGGGATTGACCCATTCCTTCTCTGGAATGTGAAAAAAAAAAAAGAGGAAAAAATTAAGGGAACGAAATTTCTCCTTTTTTAAAAGGTAGAATCATGATGCATTTTAAATGCCAAAATTAAGAAGCAAATTAACAAAAAGCCTTTTAGCATGTGCTTTTTACATGCAGCAGGGAATCAGGGTTAAGGAAGAATTCTCTATTCCCAGGTTCTCAAACTTTGGAATCACCTAGGGATTTTGAAATCTAGGCATGAGATTTGGACTTAACTGATACAAGGTACGGACTTTTAAAAAGCTCTAAGGAGAATTATAATGTGCAGCAAAGTTCAGAACCAGTGCTTTACATTCACAGTTTCTTTGCTGCTCCAAACATGATACAGGAACTGCAACATGGGGTGCACCTGGTGTTAGGGACCGGCTTCCTGCACCCCGCCAGGCAGACGAACAAAGACACCAAGGATGCAATCACTCAAGAGGAGCTTTATTTTCTGGCTAGCCAGGGTCCAGGCCCTAGAGTACCAGCGCAGTGGTCGCTCTTACAGGCAAGGACCCTGACCAAAGCTGGGGCTGCCCTTTTATCCCCCCTCCCTCTTGAACACCCGTGCTGCACAAGCTGATTGCGCGTGTTAGTCTTTAAAATGATTGGTGGATTGGTAGCCCGCCGGCGGCAAGGGGGCCTTTCTGCTTTATCTGGCACCGTACCTATGCGTCTAGCTGCAAGCAAGTGATTCTCAGAAGCAGAAATATGCGTTTAGCCCATAGCTCCACCTTTGGGCCCCAGAAGCCGATTACTCCTCCCCTGGGCTAATTTTCTGTTATCCGGGCTCAGCAGCTTTGGGCCGCAACCAGGCCCTTACATTGGGAGTGTGTTAGAAATATTCTTTGGCCCCTCTACAGACCTCCTGAATTTGAATCCGCAGTTTAACCAGATCCCCAAGTGATTTGTATTTGTATGCACATTAAATTTTGGTGTTAGAGCTGGAATCTGCAGTACCACTGATACGGAAAAGTCGGGTGCTGGGATGTGGCTGCTTGCACCATCGCTTCGCATCTCCATGAGCCAGCGCTGCTGGGGCCAGGGCCTCGTGGCAGAGAGCCGCCCAGGGCCCCATGTGCCGCCCAGGGTCCAGGTCCCGCGTGCGGGAATGCAGCCTGGCCCACAAGCTGCCGCCAGCTTCCAGCCGCGCTGCTTGTGTGATCTTGGTTGGGTAATTTTTGAATCCCACTGTTTTTGATTGGATGTTAAAGCTTGTTGTTGATTGGATGTTAAAGCTTGTAGTTGATTGGACGCTTTTTGAGCCCTACCAAGGGTATAAAAGCAGGAGGAGAACAAGGAAGGAAGGGAGGCAGAAGGGTCAGAAGATTGGAAGACGGGAAGAGAGCTGTAGAAAAATAAAGACTGGGACAGGTGTGGTGGCTCACGCCTGTAATCCTAGCACTCTGGGAGGCCAAGGGGGGCAGATTACTCGAGGTTAGGAGTTCGAAACCAGCCTGAGCAAGAGCAAGACCCTGTCTCTACTATAAATGGAAAGAAATTAATTGGTCAACTAATATATATAGAAAAAATTAGCCGGGCGTGGTGGTGCATGCCTGTAGTCCCAGCTACTCGGGAGGCTGAGGCAGCAGGATTGCTTGAGCCCAGGAGTTTGAGGTTGCTGTGAACTAGGCTGATGCCATGGCACTCACTCTAGCCTGGGCAACAAAGTGAGACTCAAAAAAAAAAAGAATAAAGACTGTTCTCCGACTCTTTGTATGCTGCTCGGTTCTTTCCCCGGTCAAGAGCTGTAACACTAGCTGTATACTTGCCACAATATTTTGGTTCCTTGACCAGGAAAGCCGACCAAGCTGGCCCCTTGAAGCCACCGCGACGGCGTATAACGGATGGCGGATCGTAGATGGTGGGCTAAGACTAGCGGGGGCCGAACGGCATCTCTCCTCCAGCACCAAGAAGAAAGAAGTGGAGCTATTGCCAAGGCCTTGCTGAGGGAGGGGAAGCAGGGGCACTGACGCAGGCTACTGCTGCAACAGGCCTCTTGGCAGGTGCTGGCCTCCACAGTGCCCGAGCAGGAGGCTGATCGTGTGGGTGCCGGGCTGAGCAAGCTGGAGCGGCAGACCAAGGCCAGGACATCGGACAAGGTAGGGTCCCCAGGACCTGCCCAAGATAGGCCTGTCAGCAGGACAAAAGAGGTGCCCCATTGGCTCCTAGGGTTAGGCCCGTCAGCGGGACAGAAGAGAAGCCCCATCGGTTCCTAAGGACGGGAATCCCCCAGGGGAGGGAATGTGTAACCTCTGAGTGAATGTGAGTGAAGGGAACAGTGTGACTGCTTGCGGCCCCACAGCTTCGGCTACGGGTTTGAGTGGGCCCTAATCTGGGGTTCTGTGACGATGTTGGCATGACGGCGATTGCCAAGACACGCTTAAGTTCTCTCGAGGGACACAGCTTGGCGGACACCTGAGAGAAACTGCTACCCCTTCTCTAAGGGGAGGAGCCAGAGCAGGGACCAGAGTCTGGGCAGGGACAAGGTTCAGAAAAGGAGTGTTGTCGGGCAATGTAGGGAACAGGAGTGCTGGTTAAATCAGTTGAAACATGGGAGGGTCCAAATCCAAGCCAACAGTTCTAAGGTGCATGCTGATAAGTTTCATGCATTCAGTATGGAGAGTGGTGACTGGGACTGCATATCCACCACTGGCATCTCCACCACTTGTCCGCTGTTTGTGGTCTGCCCCTGCCTTCCAGATGCCTCTGTGTGAAATGCAAGGTCAGCCACAGGTTCGGGATGATGGAACCATCCAGCCGGGGCAACCTGCCCTGTATTATCAGCCTTTCTCCACCACCGATCTATTGAATTGGAAACACCATACACCATCCTACTCGGAGAACCCGCAGGCCCTCATCGACCTCCTGGAGTCTATCTTCCAGACTCACTGTCCCACATGGGAAGATTGCCGACTACTCCTGCTGACCCTTTTCAGTACCGAAGTACAGTGTCGGATCATGATTGGAACTCAGAAGTGGCTGCAGGAACGGGCACCAACAGGCACCTTGGATGTGGAACAATGGGTATCATGAGCGGTGCCTGAGACCAACCCAGAGTGGGATTTCAAGGCACCAGAAGGACAAGGAGCACTGGAACGGTACCGAGAGGTTCTTTTTCAAGGAGTGCGAGAAGGGGCCAAAAAGCCGACCAACATGAACAAGGTTGCACTAATTACCCAGAAGCCAGAGGAGTCACCGTATGACTTCTACAAGCGCCTCTGTGAGGCATACCGGATATACACACCTATTGACCCGGAGGCAGCCAAAAACCAGCCATTCACCAGAGAATGGTGAATGCAGCGTTCGTTGGGCAATTGCCCTCTGACATACGTAGGAAGCTGCAGAAACTCAAAGGATTTGCAGGCATGGGTATCACGCAGTTAATGGAGGTGGCCCACAAGGTGTATGTCAACCGGGACTGGACCGCTCAGAGGGAGAAAGACCAGAGGATGAAGAAAAAGGCTGCCCTCCTGGCTGTTGCCCTTGGTAGACCTGACCCATCCAGGTGGCCCAGACCTCCATGAAAGGGGGGAATCAGAGGACGGGCGCTCCTGGCGGGAGACCAGTGTGCCAGTTGCAAGGGGTATGGCCACTGGAAGAATGAATGTCCTCACAAGAGAAGTCACCTATTGCAAGGGAGAGCCCCGTTCAGGACCACCCAACAAAAACTGGAAGCCCAAGAGCTAGTGGAGCTCGCTGGCATTGACTCCAAGTTAGGCCAACCGGGTTCCTTCAGCCCTCAGGACCCCACGGTCAAGATGAAAGTAGGGGGCCAATAAATGACATTTGTGGACGTTGGAGCAGAACATTCAGTTGTGATAAGGCATGAGGTCCTCCACATGCCAGACTGTCCGGTGCCTCTCTTGGGACAGGACTTGCTGAGCAAGTATGAGGCAGACATCATCCAGAGGACTGAGGAGCTGGAGGAGGCCAAAAAGAAGCTGGCAGAGAAAGATAAGGAATGCACTGACCTGAGGTCCAACCACCAGCGGGCAGTGGCGTCCCTGCAGGCCTCCCTGGATGCTGAGACCCAGGCCCACAATAAAGCACTGAGGCTCAAGGAGAAGATGGAGGTTGACCTCAGTGACCTGGAGCTGCAGCTGGGCCATGCTACCCAGCAGGCCATGGAGGCCCAGGCGGCCACACACCTGCTGCAGGCCCAACTGAAGGAGGAACAGGCAGGGTGGGATAAGGAGCAGTGGCTAGCAGCTGAGCTCCGAGAGCAGGTGCAGGCCCTGGGGCACTGGGCTGCACTGTTGGCTTCTGAGCTGGAGGAGCTGCGGGCTGCGCTGAAGCAGGGTGAGTGCAGCCGGTGGCTGGTGGAGCAGGAACTGTTGGAGGCCATCGAGCACCTCAACCTCCTGCATTTGCAGAACACAGGCCTCTTGAACCAGAAGCAGCAGCTCGAGGCAGATTTGGCCCACCTGAGTGGGGAGGTGGAGGAGGCCAAAAAGGCCATCACCGATGCCACCATGATGGCTGAGGAACTGAAGAAAGAGCAGGACACAAGTGCACACCTGGAACGGATGAAGAAGACACTGGAACAGACGGTGTGGGAGCTCCAGGCCCAGCTTGAGGCTGAACAGGCTGTCCTCAGAGGTGAGAGGCAGGTACCTATGGGGGTACTGGCCCAGACTGTGGGCCCCTGGCAGAGGCCAGTGGCCTGTCTGTCCAAGCAGCTAGACTCGGTAGTATTGGGATGGCCGCCTTGTCTGTGGGCACTGGCAGTGACCATCTTGCTGGTCAAGGAGGCGGACTGGCTTGTGTTTGGGCAGGGTGTCCATGTGTGGACCTGGAGCCCTGCCACCTTCCTTCCTACTGGGCCAGGGCCCCCAGACTATGACTGTGCTGAGGCCGTGGAGAAGGTCTGTGCAAGCCGGCCAGACTTGAGGGATGGTCTGTTGCCAGTGCCTGACCTGGAGCTCTACACGGACAGCAGTAGCCACAGGCATTCACCACAGGGAGCAAAGTCATCATGTCAGCCCCTCTGCCTCAGGGATGGTCAGCCCAGAGGGCAGAGTTATGGGCGCTCATCCAAGCTCTCAGCTCTTATGCCCAAGACATAAGGACCAATGTATGTGGATTGTCCCTAGAAGCTGGCTAGAAGCCAAGGACTGGCTAGAAGCCAGGGACTGACTGGACCACTGGTCTGGACTCTTATGGGAATTGGACTTGGGGCCTTTGCCCCAAGAGACTGGACTAACTTCTTGGTAATCGTTTTCTGGGTTTACATGGGGTGCCTGTGTGTTCTTGGTTGGGGCTCTCTGGGGAAGAATATGTAAACCAGTCAGGAATTGTAACTACCAAAATCAAAGGGCTATGGTAACCATGGGACCCAGCTTGCCCAATGCAGTTATTAGATTCATAGAGAGGTTGATGCCTCTGTGTAAACTGATAAGGGCATCAAAAGAGGGGAATGATACAGAAAATGTTGAGCGCTGGGATGTGGCTGCTTACCGCCTTCCCATCGCTGTGCATTTCTGCAGGCCAGCGCTGCGCATGGCCAGTTAGTTGGAGGGCACGCTGCTGGGGTCAGGGCCCTGCAGCAGAGAGCCCACCTGGGGCCCCCCGCGGCAGAGAGCCGTCCAGGGCCCTGTGTTCTGGAATGCGGCCAGGCTGTGCTGCTGCCAGCTTCTGGCTGTGCTGCTTGTGTGATCTTGGTTGGGTAATTTTTGAATCCCACTGTTTTTGATTGGATGTTAAAGCTTGTTGATTGGACGCTTTTTGAGCCCTACCAAGGGTATAAAAGCAGGAGGAAAACAAGGAAGGGGGGCAGAAGGGTCAGAAGACATCGGAAGACAGAAAGAGAGCTATTAACAATAGGTGTGCTGAGCCTGCTGTAGAAGAATAAAGACTGTTCTCCTACTCTTCATATGCTGCTTGGTTCTTTTTCCAGTCAAGAGCTGTAACACTAGCTGTACACATTGCCGCAGCACCACAGAACAAGGAGACAGAGTCACTGAGGCTGAACTCACCAAAAGGAGTTTTATTGACTAGCTCGAGCTAGGGTCTGAGTCTCAGAGCACCAACGCAGTGGCCTCTATTCTGACAAGAACCCCCCAGGAAGGTTTGGGTAGGGTTTTATACTAGCTGCTATTGCCTAACACCAGTTTTTGGTATACTGTGATACCAGGAACACAGACCTTGCACAAGCTGTTCATGCACTGATCAGACCTTGCCTTTTTACTTGATTTGTTTGCTCCCGTCCCAGGACTTTCCAACCTCTTATCAGGAGATGACCTGCGGTTACCACCCTTTTGGTGCCCAGCACCTACTGAAGCCTTATTGCAAGCAAGCAAGCTTAGGGAACAAAAGCTAGAAGAAGCTGTTAGCCTTACTTTTCTTGCATTGGTAAGTACTACATAGGCCTCTTACCAAGCAAACTGCTCCAATTTGAAAAGAAGCAAAGCACTCAGGAAATATAGCTAGCAAGAATAGGGCTCCAGCCAGAGAAGTGAAGCAACATCATTGTTACAGGCTCAGTGCTGTGGCACTCAGAGAAATCAGGTATTAGCAGAACTTCTTTGAGCTTCAAGAAGCTATGCAGGACTTAATTGAAAACAAAGCTGCAGTCCCAGTGGCTGCTCCTGGAAGTTTTTCAAGTGCTAGTTAAGCTAGTGTGGTTGATCTGTTTGGGCACACCAAATGTGGGTGCTATTCAGGCAACTGCCTATCATGTTGAAAAACATCCAGTAAGCACTCCCCAAGCGGGGAACCTGCTCCAGCTCCTCTATGATGGGGAAAATTTTGTTCTCAAATTCCAAAACTCTTCCCTCTAATATGGGTGGTTCTGAATATTCAATACCCCTACCCCCATGGAGTCAATTACCTAAGAATATTCTTTCAAATGGAAATTAATGGACAAATTAGGCATTGACAAGTGGTTTCCATTTCCTTTTGCATGTGCTGGATATTTTCCAGTTGCCCCTCTATAGTCACTCTCAGTCCTTAGCCCTGCTGAGAGACTTGGGAGGCTGACCCTCCTGGACTACCCTCTGGCTTCCAGTTGGGTTGGGCCGGTGGGAGGCCCTGGCAGGCGATCAGAAGAGAGTCAGGTCCAGGTTATTTATCACCCCAGCTTCCTTTGTGCTGAACCATGGGTTGGCTGTGTCCCTCAACTGAAAGTCAAGGTTTCGGTCAGGTAGCCTGCTCCTAGGTGTAATAATAGCTTCCAAATATTGCTAGCCATGAGATTCTACACCACTCCATTGTGTTTCCTTAACCCTATCCAACTTTTGTAAATCACTCCTTGGACTCTCTTCAGTTACCCTGTTTTAATGTGCTGTCTGTTTTTCTTCCACCTCATCACCATCTCTCTGGTGTTTAGGATCCATTTTGTTTTCATCCTTGGTGACTGGGGCATTAAAAAGGAACTCGGGGCAGGGTGCAGTGGCTAACACCGGTAACCCTAGCACTCTGGGAGGCCGAGGCGGACAGATTGTTCGAGGTCAGGAGTTCTAAACCAGCCTGAGCAAGAGCAAGACCCCATTTCTACTATAAATAGAAAGAAATTAATTGGCCAACTAATATATATAGAAAAAAAATTAGCCGGGCATGGTGGTGCATGCCTGTAGTCCCAGCTACTCGGGAGGCTGTGGCAACAGGATTGCTTGAGCCCAGGAGTTTGAGGTTGCTGTGAGCTAGGCTGATGCCACGGCACTCACTCTAGCCTGGGCAACAGAGTGAGATTCTGTCTTAAAAAAAAAAAAAAAAGGAACTCGGTGTGGTTTAAATGAGTGAAGCAAAGGTCCAGGGAACAGATGGATATCATCAATGCCCATCTGAAATATCAGTTGGCTCCCTGCCACCAGGGAGAATATACCAGAAGACTACCAGCGACATATGGAACTGGCAGATACTGCTTAACAGAGTCAAAAAGCCCCTAACTACCCTGATCAAAAACAGGATGTGGTGACAGAATCAATTAAGACCAGTTGGAACCAAGATGGTAAAGAAATTGGCTGCTTCTTGTTTATTAAAGTATATACTTTTGTTATGCATAAAACTTACAAATATTTCAAGATTATATATTTTAAACTGTATAATCTCATCCTTTGGCAAAAATACAAAAGAACATGTATAAGAATCAGTTACTTGGATACTTTATTAATGCATACTTCATAAAATTCATCAAAAAATAAAAGTTTTGTTTACTAAAAAAAAGAAAGAAATTGGAAATTGGCTGCTTCTTGTAGTTCATTATGCCTTAATTATAATATATTAGCATACTAAATGAAACTCTCACCAACACCATGACAGTTCCAGGAGGGATCTTATAAAGTAAAGAAAGGTGTGGGTCCTAATTCTAGGAAATCACCACCCATTTCCAAGAAATAACATGAATGGTCCTCCCCTACTTAGCTTATGATTAAGCCATTGCTTAAATAAAAAAATCAAAAAAGGGCAGAGGGGCTGTTCTCAGCAGGGAAAACTAGCCTCTACTCTGTATGTGTAATAGATCTTCTATAATTCCTGAATAAAACTTGCTTTCACTTGACACTGTTGGCTTGCTCCTGAATTCTTTCTTGTGTGAAGCCTAGTACCCATTTGGACTTCGTGTGATTCCCAGCATTGGGAATTACTTTCCTACAGCTACCTGACTTCTGGGGATAGCAGCTTGCAGCATGCCCTGCAATGGCAGCAGATGGTCTTATGGCATTGGCTCTGCACCCTCAAGGTTTGCTGGCACTGGCGGTAGATGACATTTGCTCCTACAGAGGGTGGACAGTCTCCCGATGTTGGTGCACATCTTCTTCAAGCAGCTTTTCCAAGCCCCCAACTTACTACTCCAATATTATGGCCTTACTTAGAATTCACCCATGGGAGAAAACAAGTGGAAACTGTTGGAGAGGAAAGTGTCAAAACCACAAGAGGGTTTTGGTCTAGGTCCAGTTGCTCAGTGCACAAAGTTCCAATTATTGAGACAACAAGGATTGTCAGGGAATAAAGGAATTTTTAATATGACAGATGTCAGGAGAAGCTGCCTCAAATCCAACTCTCCAACTAATGGAGATCATGGGTGTTTAAAGGAGGAGGTCACATGCCTTGGTGTCAAGTCTGTCTCCGTGTTCCCCAGTCTTTGGTTCCCAGTGGCAAAGAATGGGTACTAGTACCAGGTCGATGATGATGACAGGTCAGTCACAGATGCACACAAGCAACTCACACATGCAGCTTTATCGTAGGATAGATGGAAGCTTTACAAAGCAAAAGCACTTTTTGGAGAGGAACGGGTCTGCTCGGCTCCTGGAGGAGACACTGAACATAATGACGTTTTCCCTTTTTAATGTTGGCTCCTCAATTTTATGTTAAGCAGGGGCAGAATATTCATGATTTTTCTGAGAAAGGGTGGAGAGTTCTCAGAAGTGGTACCTTCCCACTTTTTGTCCTTGTATGGCTGGCTCTGGAACTGTCATGACGCTAGGGGCTGTGATTTTTTACCATGTTAAAGAGGGACTTTACCATGTTAACTTTTACCATGTTAAAGTTTACTTTCCATCACAAGCTCCTAGCTTCCCCACATGCTCCCTGTAGGGAAAAGCCCCTAACCTCTAGCTCTTGCTATTGTGGTTTCTTCCTTCTGTTTTATTGATCCCTACACTGGGCCTTTGACCACATCCACATCCCCTTGTCGCCTGCCCTGCCTCCTGCATGCCCTTAGCCCCCTAACACTGGGGGCAGGTGTGGTATGACTATTAAGGGGCTGAGTGCTTAGGGACAGGTTGTAGGGGATGGTGAATCTTGGCAGTCAGGAAGTCTGTCCGGGGACCTTCAGAACCTCAGCTCCTTTGTCTTACAGAAAATCCACCATTTCTGGAAAACAACTCAAAAGGTCAAGTAGTTAGTTAAGGGAGAGGATTATTTAAAAAAAAAATAAAAAATAGGGGCCATGGGCAGGTTGCAGTGTTGTGTGCCTCCAGGCTGGGAATGAGGAATGATCCCTGGGTATGGTAGTGATGAGATGATGTCGCCTTGGAGAGGCAGGAGTCCTGGCAACTAGCCTTCCACAGAATCTGGTTCCCCTCTTTTAAGGGTACCCCAGGGAAGATTGAGTGACCCCCTAAACACTTCCTTCTGGTTAGAACCAATTAGCTAGGTATTATGGTTCGAATCCCTTCCCCCGACCACCCCGAGGGAGGGAGGACTCCAGGCAGCCCCGCTGACACAATGGGAGGGATGTGGGGAAACAGACTAAGGCTGATGGAGCTCTGGGACGCGGAAGGGCATCTGAGACACCAGCGTGGAAGGGAGGTATCCAAGGCAGGGAGGTGAGGGGTGTTGGGGACAAGCACCGTCGTCCGCCTACAGGCCGCCCACCGCCGGCCTCAAGGCCGGGGAGCAGCAGAGACGTTGGCTTTCGCGGTTTCCTAGAGCGGCCTCGGAGGGCCCGGGGCGGCGATGCGCGTGCGCGGCCGGGAAAGCCTGGAGGAAGGCGCGGGGCGGGAGGCGGTGGCGGCGGCGGCGGCAGCGGCGGCGGGAGGATCGACTGTCTGTCGGACGGGAGAGTCGGTGAGTCGCCTGGCGGCGCGCGGGGGCGGTGGGGCGGCTGTGCGGGGCCCTCGGCCCTGCCCCCGCGACAAACAGGGCTTGGCCTCGAGGCTGCGCCCTGGGCGGGGGGCCTGCCCGGGGACCCACCACTGGCTCTTTGGGGGCGCGTCGGCGACGTCTTCGCATCCCGGGTCCGATGTGGAGAATTTGGAGTCCTGCTTTCTCTGGGCTCTGTCTTTTCACCCAATTTTGCAAATAAAGCGTGTTCATTAGAAACAATTAGATACCACAGGAAAGTGGAAGAAAAGTAAAAGCCGCAATCCGGAAATTTTATCTGCAGGCCTCCTGACATTTAAACATTTGTGCATAATTATCACATAGACGTATATGTACGTATTTTCATTATGAAAGGAGATCATGTTGTTGCTTTTTAAAAGCTTTTGTTAGTATTATTGTGATGAAATACACATACCAGTTGCCATACAATAAATAAAAATTTACCATTTTAACCATTTCGAGGCGTGTGATTCAGTGGCATTAAGTGCTTCTTAAAAATTTTAATCTCCTGACCTTGTGGAATTCATTTATTTTAATTTTGGTTAACATTGGGGCTGGCATTATGACCACTGAAACATTTTTTTTTTTGGAGGATAATTAAAGCGTTGTGTTTTCAGTTTATTTCCCATAGTGTACATTTACATGAAGCTGTAAACGGTCAACAAGTGACATCTGTGCAGAAAAATAGCAAAATCTTGTTTGTTAGGGGGTTTGTTTTTCAAAATGACAAATGACAGTGTAGGAAGTGTAGTTTTTAAACAAAGGTAGAGCTCTGACCTACAACCATTGTAGAGTACCCTGACTTTCATAGGCCTAAGAGATCAAAGAATGATCTGGTCTGTATGCTAATCTAAAAGTGATGACTAAGAAAGTTCAAAACGGAAAACTCATTAATATTAGGTTGGTTGTTTTGTTGCAGCAAACAGGACGGGGAAACAAATATGAGTCACATGAGAGTGCTGCAAAACAGGTTTTTATTACACGCGGGCTCAGAGGTCTCGCTTCCAAATTCGGAGAAAATGGGGTCCACATATGATGGTTTTATATGCTTGTTAAGAGGAAGCTGGTGGTTACAGAAGCAGATGGTTATGAAGCTTGCACAAGACTGAGGTTACAAAGTTTGCATAATATTGGTATTTAGTCAAATGTTGTTCTATAGTTGCTTAACTATGCTATTTTTTAGTTGTGCTATTATTGGGAGGGGAGTGGAAAAATTCTCCCTTACAGTTTTGCAGGGAAGTGTCAGTGAGTGGTTTGAGCGGTAATTTGATTAAGCAATTTCAGGGAATTTCTATGTGTTATATACATCTGTATGGCTGTGTGCATATTCAGGGACTGAAGAATTAGGCTGCTTTTATATGTTACCTGATACTGAAGAGAGGCTGACAAATTTTGGTTGAAAAACAATCCCTTCTTACTGTAAGCAGAAAAGATAATGTTTTGAAGGTAAACCTCCATGTGCACTTAAAAAGGAGACTAACAAAAGGGTAGAAAATGCTACCTGTTCTACCAGTTAGTTTTTTGTGGCTTCTGGTATCCAGGAAGTATTTGTGCCTAATCATTCAATTACTGTGATGTCAGACAGTTGCATGAGAGTAAAAATACATAAAGTATGGTAAAACATAACTTACTGTATTTTGCAATTTTCAATATTGAAACAATTTGAAAGAGGTCATGTGAACATTCCTGTGCCCCTCAGGTGAATGGTTAGACTTTCTACAAGATTGAATTTATGAGCTTTTGCTTTTCCTTCCTGATCTTAAACTTATTTTCTCCTTTCCTTGCTTTGTTTTACTATGTAGCACCTGTCACTAGCATACCATATATTTCTGTCTCCTCATAAGCTCCTCAACATAGTGCTTTTTGTCTGTTTTATTCACTATTGTGACCTTAGTGTCTGGGACATAGTAGGTGCTCAATAAATATATGCAAATTAATGAAAGAATGAGTCCAAATTCGGAGATAATTGACAGTATTTAATGTCCTCAATTTTTAAAGACCTAATTGTCAAATTAATCTTTAATACCTAAAATGGAAATGAGACAGATGAAAATGATAATGGCTCAAACTTCTTAATTTAAAAAACACTTTATGGCCGGGAGCAGTGGCTCCTGGGAGCAGTGGCTCCTGTAATCCTAGCACTCTGGGAGGCTGAGGCGGGTGGATCACTCAAGGTCAGGAGTTCGGAAACCAGCCTGAGCAAGAGCGAGACTCCATCTCTACTATAAATAGAAAGAAATTAATTGGCCAACAAATATATATAGAAAAAATTAGCCGGGCATGGTGGCGCATGCCTGTAGTCCCAGCTACTCGGGAGACTGAGGCAGAAAGATCGCTTGAGCCCAGGAGTTTGAGATTGCTGTGAGCTAGGGTGACGCCACAACACTCACTCTAGCCTGGGCAACAAAGCGAGACTCTGTCTCAAAAAAAATAAATAAAATAAAAAAACCCCAAAAAACACTTTGAATAATTGTAGACTTGTAGAATGGTGCAAAACTTATACCGGGTTCTCTTATACCTTTTACCCAGTTTGCCTAAAGTTAATATACATTACTATAGTTGACTCATTAAAAATTAAGGAATTTACTTGATATAGTATTATTAAACTGCAGACTTTATTAAAATTTCATCTGTTTTTTACTAATATTATTTTTATGTTCCAGGATCCAATCTAGAATCCCTTATTACATTTAGTTGTCATGTCTACTTGTTCTCCTTCAATCTGTGACAATTCCTCAGTCTTTGTCTTTATGACCTTGACAATTTTGAAGTTTTTTGTTTGTTTTATTTTTGAGACAGGGTCTTGCTATTCACCTGGGCTAGAGTGCAGTGGCATCATAGCTCACTGCAACCTCAAATTCCTGGGCACAAGTGATCCTCCTTGCCCAGCCTCCTGAGTATCTGGGACCACAGGCATACATAACTACACCCAGCTAATTTTTGTTTTTTATTGTTATTATTATTTTATTTTTTAATTTATCTTTTTATTTTTACTTTTTTTTCAAGCGTGATCATTTGCATAACTTTTGTAGTTTTTGTAGAGACGGGGGTTTTGCCATGTTGCTCAGGCTGACCTGGAACTCCTGGCCTTAAGCAATCCTCCTGCCTTGGCCTTCCAAAGTGCTAGGATTCCAGGCATGCCACTGCACCTGTCCTGGAATACTCTGTATTTGTATTTTTAAAATGCCCCTCACTTGGTTGCATTTATGTTTTCTTGTACTTATATTGAGGTTTTTATGGTTGGTTGTTTTTTTAGGAGACAGGATCCTGGTCTGTTGCCCAAGCTGGAGTGCAGTGGCACGATCATAGCTCACTGCAGCCTCTACATCCTGGTCTCAAGTGATCCTCCCGAGTAGATGGGACTACGGTGTGCGAGTAGATGGGACTACAGTGTGCGCCTGGCTCCATATGTTTTATTACTGATGTTAACCTTGATCTGGTGGTATTTTTTTTTTTTTTTTTGAGACAGAGTCTCACTTTGTTGCCCAGGCTAGAGTGAGTGCCATGGCATCAGCCTAGCTCACGGCAACCTCAAACTCCTGGGCTCAGGCAATCCTCCTGTCTCAGCCTCCCAAGTAGCTGGGATTACAGGCATGTGCCACAATGCCCGGCTAATTTTTTGTATATATATTTTTAGTTGTCCAATTAATTTCTTTCTATTTTTAGTAGAGACAGGGTCTTGCTCAGGCTGGTTTTGAACTCCTGACCTCGAGCAATCCGCCCGACTCGGCCTCCCAGAGTGCTAGGATTACAGGATTACAGCGCTGGGCTGATCTGGTGGTATTTTGACGAGTTTCATCACTGGAAAGTTACTTTCCCTTAGTAATCAATGTTTATTTGGGAGAAGATTGCTATTTGCATACAAATACTCTGTTTCTCCTTAATTTTCCTCTACTAAGTAGCATTCATTGGCGGATCTTGCCTGCAGCAACTATTACTGTGGTGTTGGAATGTGACTTTCTCTTTTCCTCATTCCTTCTACACTTATTCATTCGAACATTGGAATACTTTGTGAAGAAAAGCTGTGCCTTTTCTTTTATTTATTTATTCAGTTCCATTAGCGTATGCTCGTGGATATTTATTTTGTTCTTTGGGCTATAATGCAGTGCTATTGTTATTTATTTTGTTGTATGAATTATTCTAGCTTTGGCCATTGGGAGCTGTGTCCATTTGACATGACCTCATCGTTTTTTGAGTTTTTCCCTAGTTTTCTGGCACCAGATAACACTCATCTTTATATTTTCCCTACCCCAGCTTAGAATCAATCACTTCTTCAAGGAGCCCTGCCTCGTTTTATTGGAGAATAGTATTTACAAACCAAGTTTTGGGCACTTTAGGTATGAGTTTATTTCTTAGTTGGTAAATTAGTATAAATATTATTTTCAGATTTTAAGGACATACTGAAAGCAGTCTTTCCTTGGTGGTGATTATCTTAGAAACTTGTTTGCTTGTTATCAGTGTAAAAATACACTTTATGTACACTCACACTGGTAGGAAAACAAGAATTAGAGACTTGTTAATGGGAATTTTAAAAGGAAAACAAGTCATATTGCCCAGGAAGTAAAGAAATAAAATGTCAAAAAGAAGAAAATCTCCTTGAAAAATGCCAAGATGTTCTCTGTTCTTTTCAAAGCCATTTTCATTGTGGAAATTAAACTGGGTTAAGGTTTAAAGCTCTGGGAGTAGAGTCCTGAAAATAAGTTCTGTCCCTGTCCGCGGGACCTTCTGTTACTCGTGGGGGTCAAGGGGGACCGTGCCTGAAAGAGATGGGCGAGAGAAAGGACCGAGACCAAGCAATTGGTTGTCAAGGTCTACTTTACTTGGATTCTTTGTAGGTTTTATAAGCATACAGAAACAAGGAAGTAGAAACAGGGAAGTAGAGTGGGGTGACGATGAGGCTTGGGTTCGGGCCAGTCAGCCCCAACCAGCGTCTTATGTCTTATCAGCATCGAGGCTGTTTGTGACTGATTACTCAACCCCAACCTGGCAGGTGGTCGGGAACAATTGCAGTTAGCACACCCTGGAGCATTCCGAGGTCAGCACGTCATGGAACGTATTCTTTTCGGAGCCATAGCTGGAGGGTGGGGTGCTATTTTTTGTCCTGGGAATTTTCCAGGGCGAAGCCCGTGCGTAGGACAGGTCATAGGGGTGTTGAGGGTCCTAGCTTCCAACAAAGTTCCAGCTCAGCTTGCTTCCCAGGCCTACGTGTTCACACTTGTGGTATACTCTCAACAAGTCAATAAAGGAAGTTTTTCTTCCATCCTCAGAAGGTAATTGGGACTTGGGAGGAAGCCCGCAGCTTTAGGATACCTGAATTTTACTGGCAGTCCCAGCTACCTGCTGGGTGGCAGTGTTCACTGTGCTCTGGGTTCTTTCATTCAGACTTTGAGAGGCCCATGAGGTAGGTCTTTAGCTTTCTTCTTGTTCATGATTTTAGATATTGGACTAACAGTTTTGATGGAAGGACTGAAATCTTGGCCTTATTCGTAGGCATTTGCCCTCGTTTTTCTATTTGTCAGTCTTCTGTTCACCTCTTTGCAAGTACTTCACTGATCTCTTTGGACATTTCTGCAGTAGCTGCTTCAAAACAGCCAGCTTAGAGACTTATTTTGGTCCTAATTTCACTGTGAGTGTCAGTACCCTTGGTGCAGGAGGAGAAGGAGGAGCTTTCTCCCAATGATTGACCCAGAGACTAGGAGAGGAAGAAGACGAGTGTTTATTCACCGGTGAGGCTCAGAGGACAGGGTCCACATTCTGAGCTCCGAGCAAAGGGTGTGACAATCTTTTATACATATCTTAAGGAGGGTAATGGGCACAGTTACAATGTGTTCTTCTCTAATATCCAGCCAGGTCTTTGTGTAAGCTGTCTGGAGTTCCTAGCTGATTTATTATCTCTCCGGTGCAGGCCTATTCAAGCAAGCAAGTTACAGAAGCCACAAAAGCAAATTTTGTAAACTTAGTTCCTGGTCTGGAGTTTCTTCCTGTTTTTTTTCCTTTCCTGTTTCACAGAGGCTGGGGACCCCTACCACACTCTGAGCTAGGTCACTGCCTTTTATATTTTCCACTGGGTGCATTTCTTCAAAATAATTTCTCTCTGGCCTCAAGTTCCTTCTCTTTAACCTCATTGCCAGATTTCTCTTCACCTTTAACAGCATTCTGGTTCTTTTCATATTTCATTTTTCTTTCTCCTATCTGTCCTGCAAGTTTGGGGCATAAGGAATGTCCCTTTTTGGTTTTACTACATATTTTCAAACTACCCTTCCTGATGGCTATATAAATTTACACTTCTGTCAGTGGTGTTTGTTTGATTTTTGTTTTTTGAGTTTTTTTTCGTATTAGTGTAGTCAAATTTATCACTATTATGTTTGGGGATTTTGGGTGATTCTAGGTGACCAGCTTCCCCAGAGGCCACTTCTTCCCTTTAGTTTGATCTGCACCAAAGATGAGTCTTAGACACTTTCTGATGCTCAAGCGGTTTATCCTGGCAGCATTCTTACAAGACTGATAGTGGGAGTAGGCTGGTGGCATGGGCCGGGTACAGTTAGGGGTCAGATGTACTGAACAGGATTATCCACAAGCCATTCTCAAAGTTTGAGGAATCCCTCCCATTTTTTTATAGTTGTATTCAGTCTGGGTCTTACTGCGTGTTTCTTTCATAAGGAAGTTTAAACTGTTCCTGTAAGGGTAAGATTTGTTTTAAGGTTTCTGAGAGTTACACCTGTGCTGATGTGACCTTGTGTCCTAGAAATTCCTGGGCCAGTTTGCATCATACTAAGTGACATGTTGTGTAGGTCCTGTGAGATGCTTAATTGGGCCTTGTGGCTACCGTTAACTTTTTAATCACAATGCATAATATGTCTCTTACCATATACCACAGTCACTCTATTCCTTTTGTTGTTTAAGAAATCTTTTTTTTTTTTTTAAACGACAGTATCTCACTCTGTCACCCAGGCTGGAGTGCAGCAGTGTGATCACTGGTTACTGCAACCTTGAGCTCCTGGGTCCAAGTGATCCTCCTGCCTCAGCTTCCCAAGTAGCTAGCACCATAGGCACAGGCCACCACACCTTGCTAATTTTTAATTTTTTGTAGAGATGGGGTCTCACTGTGTTGCCCAGGCTGGTCTTGAACTCCTGGGCTCAAGCGATTATCCCACCTTAGCCTCCCAAAGTGCTGGGATTATAAGTGTGAGCCATTGTACCCAGTCAGAAATCCTTCTTTACCACAGGGCTCTTACTCTTTTCCCTCTCTTTTTTTCAGGTTTTTGGTTTTGAAATCTAACTCTTTAACTAGAATTCATTGTTTATTTGCCTAGCCAGTTTTCCCAATACAATTTATTGAGTAGTCAAATCTTTCTCAAAGACTTATCATGCTACCTCTATCATATACTAAATATATATGTGTGGGCCGGGCGCTGTGGCTCACGCCTGTAATCCTAGCTCTTGGGAGGCCGAGGCGGGCGGATTGCTCAAGGTCAGGAGTTCAATACCAGCCTGAGCAAGAGCGAGACCCCGTCTCTACTATAAATAGAAAGAAATTAATTGGCCAACTGATACATATATAAAAAATTAGCCGGGCATGGTGGCGCATGCCTGTAGTCCCAGCTACTCGGGAGGCTGAGGCAGCAGGATTGCTTGAGCCCAGGAGTTTGAGGTTGCTGTGAGCTAGGCTGACGCCACGGCACTCACTCTAGCCTGGACAACAAAGTGAGACTCTGTCTCAAAAAAAAAAAAATATATATATATATATATATGTGTGTGTATGAGCCTGTGTAAGGATTCTGTACTGTTTCTTTTATCTAGTATTTGCATATTCATTCAGTAATACACAGTGTTTTTATTAGTATAGCTTTATAGTAAGCCTTATTGTCTGGTAGAACAATCTTTTCACCTCTGAAGAGTTATCTTGGCTATTCGTGGCCTTCTGTGTGTTTGTTTGAATTTTAGAATATGATTGTCAAGTAATCTAGCACTCTGGGAGGCTGAGGCGGGAGGATCACTTGAGCTCAGGAGTTCGAAACCAGCCTGAGCAAGAGCAAGACCCTGTCTCTACTAAAAAATGGAAATTAGCTGAACAACTAAAAATATATCGAAAAAATTAGCCATTGCACCTCATGAAAAGCAAAAAAAAAAAGACAAAATTAGCCAGGCATGGTGGCGCATGCCTGTAGTCTCAGATACACGGGAGGCTGAGGCACAAGGATCGCTTAAGCCCAGGAGTTTGAGGTTGCTGTGAGCTAGGCTGATGCCATGGCACTGTAGCCAGGCAACAGAGTGAGACTCTGTCTAAAAAAAAAAAAAAGAAAAGAAAAAAAGAATATGCTTGTCAAGCCCCAAGAAAAGAAACTGAAATTTGGTTGGGATTTTATTGACTTGCATGTTAGTTTAGGAAGAATTGACATCTCAAAAATATTAGTCTTTCCATACTTAAGATTTATTCAGATCTGTTATGTCTTTTGGCACAATTTTCTGTTTCTGTGTTAAGATTACATACATTTTTTTGTTAGCTTTATTTCTGGGTGTTTTATGTTTTTTGTTGCTGTTGTGTTGATTAATTTCTGATTGGACGTTACCCAATTAATTTGCTAGAGTGGCTCACAAAACTCAGGGAAACACATTTACTAGTTTATTATAAAGGATATTTTAAAGGATATAAGTAAACGGCCAGATAAAGAGATACATAGGAGGAGATCTGGAAGGGTCTTGAGTATGAGAGCTTCCATTCTTATGGAGTTGAGTTGTACCATCTTCCTGGCACATGGACGAATTCTTGTTCACCTTCCAACAAGCTGTTAGGGACTGACCTTCCACAACCAGCCGAACAGAAAAACAGAGACAGCGAGGATGCAATTATACACGAGGAGTTTATTTTCTGGCTAACCAGGGTCCAAGCCTTGAGCACCAACGCGGTGGACACTCTCGCAGGCAAGGACCCTGACTGGTGTAACGGCATGCCTTTTTGCCCCCATGGCGCACAAGCGGTGCACAAGCCGATCACGCGTGGATCATGCGTTGACCTTTAAGATGATTGGTTGCCCACTATTGTCCTTCTAATATGATTGGTTGCCCTCTATTGCCTGATGGGCCAGTTGCCCGGGCTTCAATGACCTCATCCCATAATTCTCCATACAGCGGTGTAGCAAGCAAGCAATGACCAGAAGCAAAAGTTTGCGGTTAGCTCATTGCCCCATCCAAGTAAATTCTCGACAATTACTCAAGTAAATTCCTGACAATTGGAAAAATTCCTCTGCCCTTCCTCTGCCCTACAAAGCTTCTACAAGTTCAGCTGTCTGGAAGCTCTCCATACCCTACCCTCTTGGTCCTTTTGTGTAGACTTCATTGGATAGCATGATTGAAGCATGGACAACCATGTAGAAATGTTATTGGATAAAAATAGTATGATTAAAACTAACAGACTGAGTGGGGAATCCCAACAAGGCCAGTCTGTTCAGATTCTATTTGGCCTCTCTGTACAGCATTCCTTCCTCTCAGGTATGGGCAGTGGGCAGGACGGCTTCTGAAATGGAGGTCTTAGGACCTGCAATCAAACAAGGTAGGTCAGAGAATTTATGGTCAGCTCCAAGATGGAAAAGCAGAGGAAGATTAGCATATATTTTTAGTTTCTGTGGCCTGCCTTGGGGAGAAAAAGGAGCAGGTGAAAGGAGGACAGAAAGTCAGAGAGATTCTGTTTTCTGAGGCCTGCTCCTGAGGCCTAACTTATCCCAACATGAAAACAAAAGATTGTCTTTTATCTTTATTGCTCCAAGGCTGTTCCAAAGCTGCCTCAGGAGCTGAGGACAAAAGGCCAAATACCTTAACAAAAGATATGCTTATTGTTTTAGTCACTTAGGAATTAACAAGGGCTATGGGAGTTATGAGCCAGAACCATGTACAAAAACCAATGTATATGTATAATAATATCACAGATACCAAGTCTTGAGAACTCTTTGCCTTGTCCTAGATCCTAAAGGTTTTCTCCTGTTTTTCTCTAAAAGTTGTATAGTTTTGTGTTTTATATTTAAGTCTATGATCATATTGAATTGATGTTTGTAGAAGGTGTGAGGTTTAGGTCTACCTTCTTTATTTTGCCTATGAATGTCCAGTTGCTCTGGCAACATTTGTTGAGAAGACGATCAATCCTTCCTCATTTGAATTGCTTTTGTACCTTTATCAAAAATTATGGCCGGGACGGTGGCTCATGCCTGTAATCCTAGCACTCTGGGAGGCCGAGGCGGGCAGATTGCTCAAGGTCAGGAGTTTGAAACCAGCCTGAGCAAGAGCGAGACCCCCTCTCTACTATAAATAAAATGAAATTAATTGGCCAACTAATATATAGAAAAATTAGCCGGACATGGTGGCGCATGCCTGTAGTCCCAGCTACTTGGGAGGCTGAGGTAGTGGGATCACTTTGAGCCCAGGAGATTGAGGTTGTTGTGAGCTAGGCTGATGCCACGGCACTCACGCTAGCCTGGGCAACAAAGCGAGACTCTGTCTCAAAAAAAAAAAAAATAGTTTGGCGTATTGCAGGGGTGAACTCCTCTGCACCATGATATGGCTTGTAGCACAAGCTCCTTTCCTAGTTATGATCAAATAGACATTCCCTGAGAGCCCAAAATGTAAAGTAGCTTCTTATTTAAACCTCATAACCCACCACAGAGATTTCCAGAGGTAAAATGATACATGCACAGTTATACAGCTAATAATTAGGGAACTGGGTTTGAAACTAGGTGTGTCTTAGTTCACATTCTGTAGTCTTTCTACTAAGCTCTGCTGTCTCCTGAAAGTGGCTTGAACCCTTAGACACCCCCTGTTATGATGAATTGTTAATATAAAAGGAAATATAGGGTCGGGTGGGAGGATCTCTTGAGGCCAGGAGTTCAAGACCAGCCTGGGCAATATAACAAGATTTCATCTCTATCAAAAAAATAGAAAAGTTAGCTGGGTGTTGTGATGCATACATGTAGACCTAGCTATCAGGCGGCTGAAGCAGGAGGATCACTTGAGCCCAGGAATTTGAGGTTGCAGTGAGCCTTGGTGATACCACTGCATTCCAGCCTGGATGACAGAGCAAAACCTTGCTTCAAAAAAAAAAAAAAAATCAAAATGAAATATTGGAGTTGAGTGCAATGCTGGATTAGTAGTTTTTAATCCATTGGTGGATCATAAAATCAATTCAATCAGCATTTTGTTTTGTTTTTGAATTGCTTATTTGATATTTTTTTTCTTTTTAGAGACAAGGTCTCACTTTGTCAACCAGGCTGGAGTACAGTGGTGTGATTGTAGCTCACTGTAACCTCAAACTCCTGGGCTTAAACAATCCCCCTGCCTCATCCTTCCCAGTAGCCTGGACTATAAGCGTATGCCACCATGCCCAGCTAATTTTCGGAGATGGGGGTCTCACTATGTTGTCCAGGCTAGTCCTGAACTCCTAGCCTCAAGCAGTCTTCCTGCCTTGGCCTCCCAGAGTACTGGGATTACAGATGTGAGCTACTCTGCCAGGCTGAGATATTTTAAAGTATTGTATTATAATATTAGTAAAATCACATTTTATATTAAAAAAATTAGTTGAACATATTTATGTGGGTCTATTTCTGACTTTTCTGTTCCATTGATCTATCTGTCTCTTCCTCTACTAATATCACACAGTCTTGATTACTATAAGTCTTGAAATCAGATAGACTATTCCTCCTACTTTATTATTTTTCAAAATTATTTTAGCTATTCTAATTCCATTGTCTTCTCGCAAAAATTTTAGAATAATCTTGTCTATATCTATAAAAAAAATCTTGCTGAGATTTTGGTAGGATTTGCATTAGACTCATAGATATCTTTACTATGTCAAGTCTTCCAATACATGAATATGGTGTCTGTCCATTTATTTAGATCTTCTTTGACTTTTTTCATCAGCCATTTGTGTTTTTTACAAAGTTTTTATGTATAAACTCAACACATGTTTTACTGTATTCTGGGATATTTTCTTAGCTTACTAGCCCAATAGGTGACATTCTACCCCTGGTCTGCCTGATACTGGCAAATACATCTGTGCCAATGCTTTTTGTATGTGTGCCTTTTTCTCATACGTCCAAAGATAATCCCAACCAACAGGATCTTACTGCATTGTGTATGATGGATATCATTCTTTCATCCCTCCTGAATGTTGGTTATTTCAGTCTCTTAACAGTGACTTCTGATGTCCCAGCAAATGGCATCATCCATTACAGTGCTGAGAAGGTACTCCCGAGGACCCAGCAGCGACACGGCTAAGGCAGGCGTGTTTCGAGCTCTTCTGGGTAGGCCGTGAACAGGAGTGATGCCTCCAGGCAGGTGGTGCACTGTCCATCCAGCTCAGGCCCAGTCTTCAAGGGAGCGAGGACGCCTGCAAATGGTAAAGAAGGAAGAAGAGGATGAAGGCTACACTTCAGTGCAGGCTGCCAGGCCACAGACTCTCAACCGTCCTGGCCAGGAGCTGTTCCGCCAGCTCTTCAGGCAGCTTCGCTACCATGAGTCATCTGGGCCCCTAGAAACTCTGAGCCGGCTCCGGGAGCTCTGCCGCTGGTGGCTGAGGCCTGACGTTCTCTCCAAGGCACAGATCCTGGAGCTGCTGGTGCTGGAGCAGTTCCTGAGCATTTTGCCTGGGGAACTCCGGACCTGGGTGCAGCTCCATCACCCTGAAAGTGGTGAGAAGGCTGTGGCCTTGCTGGAGGAGCTGCACAGGGACCTTGATATGACACCATGGATGGTGAGTATGAGCAAGTGTGTCCTGCCCAGTGAACTCCACATGCTGGTGAGCCAACTTGTCTGGGGCTGGGGGCAGCCCTCTGAACTGTCAGCATTGTAGAATACATGGGAACCTTCCCTTCTCATTTCCTTGGCATCTAATCAGCTGAGAAATGGGCCCTTGAGCACTTCCCAGAGGAGCATCAGCTCCACATAGGGTCCACAGGTACCCATAAATAACAGTAACTAGTCTTTGGACACAGCTGCTTACAGTATACAAAGTCTGTCTCTATGTATTATCTAATTTGACTTGAGACTGGCCATAGCCTTGTAAAATGGTGGGGGTTGGGGCAGCACCTAGAGTCAGGACTCTGGGCTTCTGAGTGAGAACATACGTGTTAAAACCCAGAAGGGCAGTCTGTATGTATGTACCATGTTGCTTCCTTCTCAGTAAGCTTTTGAGGATCTGTTTTGTGTGTGCAGTTGGAGGTTGGGGAGGAGGGATGGATGTGAGTGCTAAAGGGTAGCCCTGGGCTGAGAAATAGGAAGACCTCAATTTTAGACTTTATTCCATACCTTCGGTGTCCTTGGCCATATTGTTATACCTTTCAGAGCCTCTGTTCATTGAGAGAAGAGAAAATGCAGAAATGATCTAACCGTAAGAAATGTTCAGTAAATATTTGAGTGCCTATCATGTACCTGGCCCTGGCAGAGTTGACAGTCCCAGGCCCAGCAGTAGAACTGTCGCAAGTGAGTTACAGTGCATTATTCCTGCTGCTTCTGCTGCACACACGGAGCTGATGTTGTATTGTTTCAGACTTTTTAAAAGATCATTTGTCATTTTTGTTTTAGCCCCCTTTAAAATTTTATCTATGTAAAAATATGTGTGATTCTGTGTGCATAATTCATGTATAAATGAAAGTTGCGGTTAAGATTTCTGAAATAGACCGGGGGTGGTGGCTCACAGCTGTAATCCTAGCACTCTGGAAGGCTGAGGCAGGAGGATCATTTGAGCTCAAGAGTTCGAGACCAGCCTGAGCAAGAGCAAGACTCCATCTCTACTAAAAAAATAGAAAGAAATTAGCTGGACAACTGAAAAATATAGATATATATAAAATTAGTCGGGCCTGGTGGCGCATTTCTGTAGTCCCAGCTACTTGGGAGGCTGAGGCAGAAAGATCGCTTGATCCCAGGAGTTTGAAGTTGCTGTGAGCTAGGCTGATGCCACAGCACTCTAGCCCAGGCAACAGAGTGATACTCTACCTCAAAAAAAAAAAAAAAAAAAGATTTCTGAAATAAATTTGACGTATTTGTCCCCAAACTTATTGTAAAAATTAAATTAAATAACACTTCTAAACATGGTCTACCAATAGTAAATGGTAATAAATCAATACAAGTTATGACTATTAGAAAATATCGCCGGGCGCGGTGGCTCTCGCCTGTAATCCTAGCTCTCTGGGAGGCCGAGGCGGGCGATTGCTCAAGGTCAGGAGTTCAAAACCAGCCTGAGCAAGAGCGAGACCCCGTCTCTACTATAAATAGAAAGAAATTAATTGGCCAACTGATATGTATATAAAAAAATTAGCCGGGCATAGTGGCGCATGCCTGTAGTCCCAGCTACTCGGGAGGCTGAGGCAGAAGGATTCTCGAGCCCAGGAGTTTGAGGTTGCTGTGAGCTAGGCTGACGCCATGGCACTCTAGCCTGGACAACAAAGCGAGACTCTGTCTAAAAAAAAAAAAAAAAAGAAAATATCTTTGCTTAATATTAGGTACTATTTTAATACCTCAAAAGAGGATTTGTCATTTTTACTAAAAAATATTCAGAAGGGCCTAATAATAATTTATAAAAAAAATAAGATACACAGTAAATTTGCAGCTTTGTTATAGTTAGCTCATTTAGAGTTAGATGTAAGGTTGAAAAAAATCTGTGAAAACATTGCCAAATGAGCAGAAAGGGCCTAACTGAAAGCTCGTTAGAAATTAGAAGACAATGGGAGCTGGAAGAAAGCCCTCCAAATTCTTTTTTTTTATTATTCAGTCCCTGTAGGGACCGTCAAAAATTGCCAATGCTGACTATATTGCAAGTCGTCATGGTGGAAAAGGCCCCCAAATTCTGAAAATGAATAGAAATGCTTAAAGTACATATAAAGTCAGAGGGTCATGTTAGAGTTCAGCAAAATTAGGGCACTGAAAAACCAGGGCCTGAGAAAGTTTGTCCTTAAACTCATGTGGTTGTGCTTATGTTCTTATTATTTCTTTATTCTTCCTTTAGTAGGGTTTGAGAGGGGCCGGAGATAAATTACCATGATGATCAATTCATCATCTTTAGTCCATGTCTTTGCATCAGATGTCTAATGGCCTCAGGCTAAGAATTGTTCATATTGGTATAGAGAACGTCTTGGCCATGGAAGCAGAAAAACTCAAAAGTTCATTGGCTATAACTTCCTGTACTCATCTCCACATCAGAGACAACCTTGCCTTATAGACCAGAGCTATTTGAAGGCCCAGGGTAAAGGCCTCCTCTTTCCTGCTCTTTGCTTCGATAGGTATTGCCATTTTTTACAATGGAGGCTTTTTCTTCTGTGGTTCCACAGCTGACCCTCATAATTAGCTCTGCTTCTCTGGAGGTATTACTGTTAAAGTGAAGTTTACAATCAGGAGCTAGCCTACCTCTTTGAGTTTTCTGTGCATATTAGTGCCTAAAGTGGTAGATGTTACTTGACAGTAGATATCACTTGACTATCTCTGCTGTGAACCATTATCAGTGTAACTCTCAAGAACTAATTTCTTCTCTCTCATTTCTAAGTTTCAGGTCTGGGGTGGGTAGTGGGGAGACGTTGCTGTGGCATCTGAAGACTGACAACACTGCTGTTACTGACTTGCCAAGTGCTTCCTTGCCTTGAGCCCTCATTAGAGCCCATGGAGGGGAATGGGAGGGAGGGGCTTCCCTGTGGTGCTGCTTGTGCTTTTGCCTCTGCCTGGAATTAATATGAGACCTGGCTCCCCCCTCCCTTGGCCCCTGCCCTTTGGAAACCTGCTGTGTGGCCTCTTTGATCTGATTGCCATGAGGATCCTCTCACAACATTTTCTTCTTGTCAGGACCCAGGCTCTGCCCAGAGCCCAGATGTGCACTGGATGGGTACAGGAGCCCTGCGATCTGCACAGATATGGCCCCCTGCTTCACCCCTCAGGAACGGCTCTGCTTTGGGGGACCACCTGCAGCCTCCCTGTGAAATAGGAGCATGTGACTTCCTGCTTGGGCAATCCGGTACTCGCTGCCTGGCTCTAATACTCCAGCCTTATGCATGCCTTTTGAATTTCCTATGATGTTGTCTTCACCATCTGTCCTTTCACAAGAATCTTCTGTCCTGGCTCTTAGATCTGTGTCCTCTTCACCCCTTCTGTGACTCATCTCTGGCTAGCTTCTCCCCTCATTACATTCCCCCCAATACACACAGACTCCCTTCCTGGTCCCCAATAGACACACATATGAGATGGACATTTAATAACTGTCTGGCTGGGCGCGGTGGCTCACGCCTGTAATCCTAGCACTATGGGAGGCCAAGGCGGGAGGATCACTCAAGGTCAGGAGTTTGAAACCAGCCTGAGCAAGAGCGAGACCCTGTCTCTACTAAAAATGGAGAAAGAAATTAATTGGCCAACTCAAAATATATAGAAAAAATTAGCCGGGCTTGGTGGCGCATGCCTGTAGTCCCAGCTACTTGGGAGACTGAGGCAGAAGGATCGCTTGAGCCCCAGGACTTTGAGGTTGCTGTGAGCTAGGCTGACACCATGACATTTTAGCCCAGGCAACAGAGTGAGACTCTGTCTCAAAAATAAATAAATAACAGTCTGTGCCTGCTCATGGGTCCAAGAGACCTGTGTATGTAGGGAAGAGTGGGCTTCTCAGTGGGGCATCCAGAGGTGGGCAGCTTTCTCATGGCTTTTTCTTCTCCTTCAGATCCTCCTGCTGCGCAGGTTCCTGCCTTTTCCCAGAGAGAGGGGTGCCCAGGAGACCGGGTAGTGGTAACCAGGTCCCTGACAGCCCAGCCCCAGGTGAGCCACAGGGCCTTCAGTCCTTCCTTTATGCCCCAGCATTACTGCCTAATGGAGTAGGACAGCTCTCCTCATTCTGGGTTTCTCTGTCTGGTGACCTCACATCCAGAGACCCATGTCCTAGACACCAGATCACCCTCCTTGAGCTCAGAGCTCTCTTCCTGGGTGATGGTCTTCTGTTCACCTTTGCCAGATCCATCTTTTACTCACCCAGAGCCAGCCCATTCCCCTGCCCACTTCTAAAAACTGGGGGCTGTGGACCAACTCTAGGGCACATTGTTTTTTCAGAAGGCTATGACTTTCAAGGATGTGGAGGTGACCTTCTCCCAGGATGAGTGGGGATGGCTGGACTCGGCTCAGAGGAACCTGTACAGGGATGTGATGCTGGAGAATTATAGAAATATGGTTTCTCTGGGTAAGTCATTGGTACTCACATGTTTCTATCCACCTTTACTGTGCCTTCTTGGGTTTTTTTTTTGTTTGTTTGTTTTTGAGGACCATGACCTGGACCCATGCTCAAGAAGCCTTGAGCAAGTGGACTCCCCTTCTTGGTTTTTGTAGTGGTACATAGGGAGAGACGTGACCTGGGTTTAGATTCTGGCTGCATAACTACTAACTAGATCACTTAATCTAGCACCTTGGCATCCTCTTTTGAAAAATGGGGATAATAGGCTGGGCAGGGTGGCTCACGCCTGTAATCCCAGTACTTTGGGAGGCCAAGCCAGAAGGATTTCTTGAGGCCAGGAGTTTGAGACCAACCTTGGCAACATAGCGAGATCCCATCTCTACAAAAAAAGGAGAGAGAATCAGCTGGGCATAGTGCTGCACACCTGCATTCCCAGCTACTTGGGAGACTGAGGCAGGAGGATTGCTTAACCACTTCGGCAGGGTGCTCACCAGCCTCGAAACCTTGCCCACAGCCAGCACTCACAGTCCGAACGATAGTTTGTGCTGTGCATTGACTACGAATCCGTTTTGCTCTTGTGTGATGAGGAAAGCTTTAAAGCACTAAAAGCTTGTTTTACTTCACAGGCAGCTTTACTTGTAATGTAAATCAGAATAGGTAACATATACATATATGTTTTCATTACATTATTTTTAAATGTTCACAATTTTATTTTGATAAATGAAAAATTAGGAAAGTCATATCATGGCTGTCGGCTAAAGTCGACGCTTGGCAGTGCGCTTTCATATCACGGTTGTCGGCTAAAGTCTCTGTATGTGTTCATCTCTGGCTATCGACTATAGTCGGTGCTGGTCCCGAAGTGGTTAAGCCCAGGAGTTTGAAGCTGCAGTGAGCTATGATCACATCACTGTGTTCCAGCCTAGGTGACAGAGTGAGACTCTGTCTCTTAAAAAAATAAAATGGAAGGCCGGGTGCGGTGGCTTACGCCTATAATCCTAGCACTCTGGGAGGCTGAGGTGGGCAGATTGCTCGAGGTCAGGAGTTCGAAACTAGCCTGAGCAAGAGGGAGACCCCGTCTCTACTATAAATAGAAAGAAATTAATTGGCCAACTAATATATATAGAAAAAATTAGCCAGGCATGGTGGCGCATGCTTGTAGTCCCAGCTACTTGGGAGGCTGAGGCAGCAGGATTGCTTGAGCCCAGGAGTTTGAGGTTGCTGTGAGCTAGGTTGACGCCAAGGGACTCACTCTAGCCTGAGCAACAAAGCAAGACTCTGTCTCAAAAAAATAAAATGGAGATAATAATGCCTGCCATTTTAGGTTTTTGTAAAGATTAAATGTAATATGTTTTAAGTTCTTAGTCCATTTAGGCATTCAAAAAATGTTGATTTAGCCATTTGAGTAGCTGTGTGGTTCTCACCTCCAGAGAATTCTAGTGATCCTTTTGCCTGCAACTTCTTATAGCCTCTTTCTTCTCTTATCTCTGTCTGCTCAGGGCTATCAGAAACAACCATCTGGGCCTCCTGGCATAGTTTCTTTCACCTGCTTTCCTGGCCTTTCCCACCTCCCTGCCAGGATTTCAGGCTGGAAGAGTCCTGGAGTAGTTCTGAGTGATCCATATACCTTCTCATCCCATTCCCTTCTTTTCTGCAGTGGGGCCATTCACCAAACCTGGTCTGATCTCCTGGTTGGAAGCAAGGGAGCCGTGGGGCCTGAATATCCAAGCAATTCAGCCTAAGGGGAATCCAGGTGCTCCCCCTACGGGTGAGTTCCAAAGAACCTACCAGGTTCTGCTCTTTCTACATCTACTCTTCACTTTCCCCAGTATATCACTGGGGACTTACTTCATTGTTTGCTAGAAGATCTTTTTGGTTTGTTTTTTTCAAGTCAGATGGGTAATATGCTGATATCATAACAAGGTTTGAGGGAGGTGCTTCTTACATGTGAGTGTGAAAACTCAATCATCACACTTATAAACTATAAAAGGATCTAGAAGGAAAATCTTTTAACAGTGTTGCTAAGGGGTGCTGGCTTGGGCCTCTCCCCTCCTAGCTGGCCTTTGAGAAGCCATTTGTTTCTAGACCTGTCCCTTCCCCCTTCTCCAGCAGCCCTCTCATTAACAGTTCTTGCTGGAGGGCTTCATTGTTCCTGTATTTTTCATTCACTGATGCTCCTTAGCCCTGTGCCTGCACTCCTGCTAAATCCCCTAGGTACACCCCATCCTGCACTTAGGAGCCCTAATCACACTCCCGTTTCTCTTCTTTGCTTGGTTTTTCCTACTGTGATAGGCTGATCTCCAGTCCTTTGATTCAGGCCCTCCTTGGCACCTTACCTCTTGGCTTTTGGGTACATTTCTGTGGTACACCTGTGCCATGATTCTTCTCCCCTCACTGGCTATCTAACACTCTCTTTCAATCTGTTCATTTTCCTGATGGATGTGATGTCTGCATATCTCTAGCTCCTGTGCCCATCTTACTTTTCCTCTCCTCCTCCCTGTTATCTGGGATACTCTTCCATGCTTTGCCTTGTACTTGACTATTGTGTAAAGGTATTGGAAGTCAGGCAAAAACCTCACCACCCAGACATTTCATTGCCCATTGGTGCTTTCTCTAGTTCCAAGTATGAGAAAAGAGTACATTCTATTCTGTTTTATTTTTTGTTAGGTAAGCTCCAGATTAAAACAAACAAGTTCTTCTTAAATCCGGAACCTTTGGAAGAAGCAGATATCCCAGCTGTGCCATCAGAATGTCTTGCAACAAGTGTTTCTCAGGGAACAGTGCTCAGCAGATCTTTTGAACCAAAGAGCAGGTTCAAGGATCAATGTGGAACTCCCATACAAGTGAGAGTTAAGAAAGAAGAGACCAACTTCAGTCACAGGACAAGAATAGATTCTGAAGTATCAGGAAGAAGTAATAGCCTTGGCCTAAAACATGTTACATATTTGAGAGTTTCTGAGAGAAAGCTATCCCTTAAACATGGCTATGGCAGACACTTCAGCATAATGAGTTCACACCACTTTGACTACATAAGATATGGGAACAGGCTCAGATACATGATTGGGGGCTTTAACCTACTTCAGAGAATTCATACTAGACTGAAAGGGAACAAAAAGGATGTGTGTGGAAAAGACTTCAGCCTTAGCTCTCATTATCAACATGGGCAGAACCTTCCCATGGGGAAAGTGGGGGCATCGTATAAGTGCAGTGAGTGTGGGAGGATTTTTAGTCGTAGATCCCATCTTGCATGTCATCAGAAACTTCATACTCAAGAGAAAGCATTTAAATGTAGGGTGTGTGGGAAAGCCTTTAGGTGGAGCTCCAACTGTGTGCGACACGAGAAAATTCACACTAGGGTGAAACCTTATAAGTGCAGTCTATGTGAGAAAGCTTTCCGACGTATGTCAGCCTACCGTCTGCACCAGGAAACCCATGCTAAGCAGAAATTTCTTGAATCAAATCAATATGGGCAAGTGCTTGCCTATAGTTCAGGATTTGATCATTTGAGAGACCAAAATGAGGAGAAGCTCTTTGACTGCAGCCAGTGCAGGAAATCCTTCCACTGTAAAGCCTATGTTCTTGAACATCAGAGGATTCACACCCAGGAGAAACCCTATAAATGTACCAAATGTAGGAAAACCTTTAGGTGGAGGTCAAATTTTACTCGTCATATGAGGTTGCACCAGGAGGAAAAAGTTCACAAACAAGATACATGTCAAGAAGACTTCAGGCCGAATCCTAACTACAGTCAGCCCCAGGATGCCCCCACTGTGGAGCAAACTTTTTTGTGTCAGCCATGTGGCAAAACTTTTACTCGAGAGAAAACCCTCATTGATCATCAGAGAATTCATACAGGTGAGAAACCATACCGATGTGGCGAATGTGGCAAAGAATTTATCTATAAGTCAGCCTTTATTGTTCATAAGAAGAAGCATGCCATGAAAAGAAAACCTGAGGGTGAGCCATCTTTTAAGCAGGACAGAGTGTTCCCAGTTCCTCAGAGCAGTCACACGAAAGAGGAGCCCTACAAATGTAGCCAGTGTGACAGAGCCTTCCGTAATCACTCATTCCTCCTCCTGCATCAGAGAGTTCACACTGGAGAGAAGCCGTATAAGTGCAGGGAGTGTGGGAAAGCCTTCAGATGGAGTTCCAATCTCTACCGACATCAGAGGCTTCACTCTTTGCAAAAAGAGTATGAATGTCATGAAATTGAAAAGACTCCAGATCTGGAGCCGAAAATCCTCACTGATGAGAAACCTTTTTGGTGTCAAGAATGTGGCAAAACCTTTACACGTAAGAGAACTCTTTTAGATCATAAGGGAATACATAGTGGAGAGAAGCGCTATAAATGCGATCTATGTGGAAAATCTTATGATAGAAATCATCGTCTTGTTAAACATCAGAGAATCCACACTAAAGAGAGACCTTTTAAATGTCAGTGGTGTGAGAAAGACTTTGTTGGGAGACAAGCCCTTTGTAATCATCAGAGAAAACACACCAGGGTGGCAAAGTCTGAATGTAGCCTGCCTGGGTTATTGTCCTGTCAGGACACAGAGTTGAGTTTACAGGAATTAAAACCAATTGAAGAGAAGCCTGTTGAAGATTGTGAAAAAGCTTGTGACCAGAGCTCCAGGCTCACTGAACTCCAGAACATACCCACTAAGAAGAAGTGCCACAAATGTAGCATTTGTGGAAAAGCTTTTGGCAAGAGTTCCCAACTTATTAGCCACAAGAGATTTCATACTCGAGAAAGGCCCTTCAAATGCAGCAAGTGTGCGAAGACCTTCAGGTGGTCTTCAAACTTGGCTCGGCACATGAAAAACCATATTAGAGATTAGCCTAGGACCTGACAATGACAATGGGGTAAATGATTCCTAGCGACCCTGCTAGGGAACCCTTAATTATAGGGATGGTGGGAAAAACCTCTACAAAGGGCCTAGCCCTTTCTGTTTTGTAAACTAGTGACAGAATCCTGAGGATTGAAAAGCTCAGGGAGTCCCCAGCCTACCTGCTGGAAAGTGATACTGTGGGAAAAACAGCAACATGTTCTTTGGAGCCCTTCTGAAAACCTGGGCCAGTAGGCGTGGCCTTTGCATAGTAGCCTGGGGCACCTTCAGCCAGGTCTCCTACCACACCTCTAAAGAGTGAGACCATTGCCCTTTGTGGTTGGACAAAACGTCTGTGGCATCGTGAGCTTTGGCTGTTGGAAAGGGGCCAGTTGGATCCCAAGTTTCTCTTTGAGCTTGGCTTGTGAGGGTGCCTGTTCTGTTGAATTTGAAAGTAGCAGCAGCAGCATCAAGAACTCCTAATCTTCCCGTTTGTCCCCTGTGGAGTCGTGGCCGGGCCTTCAGCCTTCATAGCTGGCTTTCATATGTCTGCGAGGGGTTGAGAGCTGTCTCCATGGCAGGTGGAGAATAGGGTGCTGGGCTCGATTGCTAGGAGTGTGGAGCGCAACTGGTACCCTGTGGCCATCTCTACCCCACAGGCATGCATAGGCAGCAGCGTTCCATCTGTTCAGCAGAAGTGTGCTAAGCACTTGTGTGTGCCAGAGAACTGACAGTAACCAGAACAGACCAAAACCTTGCCATCTGGGAACTTTACAGATGATAAACCAATATATAGTATGCTGGATGGCTATGTGTTGTGGAGAAAGGAGAGCAGAGGAGACTGGGAGGTGGGTTGTGATTTTAAAGAGTTTGGTGAAGGAGGGCCTTAACTGAGAAGGTAAAATTTGAGCAAAGACCTGAAGGAGGTCAGGGAGTGAGCCATGTGGATCTTTATAAAGAGAATTGCAGGCAGAGGAGGTGGGGTCTTGTTTGGTGTCCTCGGGGAATAGCAAGGAGGCCCCTGAGATAGAATGGAGTGAGCCAACTGGCCAAGGCGGAAAGAGGGCCTGCAAGGTGAAGGGCCAGGCCGTGTGGGCCTGGTGGGTCATCGCTGGGGCTTGGGCTGCTTCAGAGGGAGGTAGGGAGCTTCCAGACAGTTTCAAGTAGATAAATGATGTGACCTGAATCTGAATTACATTTTACAAAAGTTAACCATAGACCCAACGACAGTAAAATAGTATGGCTGATTTTTACGTAGTTATCTCTGCTGCCAGTTTCCATGAATGAGACCCTCCCCCGTACCCCATTTCTGAATTTCCTGTAAGGTCTTCAGCCCTCAGCAGATGTAAATACTTCACCATTATTACATTTACATCTCTCGCCTCTGCATACTGTAGGCAGCCTCTCACCTTCACACAGCCCTCTGCCTGTGTAGGAACCTGCTGTTGGCGCGAGGTTCAACCCAAAGGCGCCAGTGCCTCGTGGTGGGGATGGAATGACCCCTCACTTGCCCACCCACTTGTTGTGAAGCAAAAGCAAGAGCCGTCTCAATGCCATAAAGTAAAGGAGTGTTGTTTCTCAAGTGTTCATAAGTAATCATTGCTTCTGGTATTGAAGATTATACATGTAAGGGTAAAATGTTTCACTCAGTGGTAGAGCAGCGTCTCAGACTGCATTTTACTGCAGTGAGTAGCGCCCACTCACGGAGCACGCCGTTTCTTATAACGAGAAGAAACCAACCTGGAAACTCTTCTCAGTAGTGTGCAGAGCAATCTTACCTGCTCAGGATCGCCTTGGGCAGGTGAAAATGAAGGCTCTGGTACTGTGTGGTGGTAAACGGGGTGGGCAGAGAGTGGGGCAGGCGTCTCCTGTGGTGTTCTGGTGCCCACTCAGCTCTACTGGGAAGGGTTGTCATCTTGGCTCTGCCATCCTCTTGCCTTTTTATAGCAGCTGCTCATGGCTTGGAATCAGGTGTCCCTTCACTGGCATAGTTCCCCAAACTGGCACTACAGGTTGCTGGGCAGGGGTCAGAGTCCTGTGTGTTTAGGGCCTGGGGTCATGGGACCCTGGAGTCATTAGATCTGGGTTCCAGGCTCGGTGTGCCTTGGACTGGCAGGATGATCTAGAGCAAGTTGTTGGACGTCTGCATCAGTTTCCTCATGTGTGAAATTAGAGTATCTGGCTGTGCTGCCTGCCTCCTGGGATTGGTGAAAGAGAGCTTGGTTGACTAAAACTCTGGGTTAGATGGTTGACCTCTAGGACCAGGGCCCTCACAGAGGTCAGTTGGTGCTACAACCACAGAAACCCCTTTCTGTCCACCTTTTCATCCCCTTATTCCCTGCGCCACCTGGCACCTTGTAAAGTTCCTGCCCCAATAAGGTTGGGTTTTTTTCCCCCTGACCATATCCTACATGAAGTAAGAGTGTTTTTACTGCCATTTTTATAGAATGAGGTATACTTATTTTAAACATTCCAAATTTTAAAATGTACAAAGAATGAAATAAAAAATAGAAACCCTTCTATACTGAAGCCATTCATATTTTGGGATTATATTGATGCAGTCTGTTTAATAACCTGAGTTTTCAAATCTTAGTTCTATAAATATTAGGTGATTATCATAGAAATATTAGTAAATACAGATTAGATAAAAGGAAAAAAAGGTCAAAATCTGACTACTTGGTGTTAACTACTAAACATTTTGGTGTAATCACTATTAGATTTGACTTCATTGCATGTACCTCCCTGGACTGTCCTGCCTCCCTTCACCTGGAGTGCCACACTTATGTCTATGTTGCTCCAGGTCGTCTGTCTTTAAGGCCTGACCTTGTCTGATCCTCATCCCTCTAAGCCCCTTTCCCCTGGCCCCACCTCTCCTGTTGCCTGTATCTGGCTGTGTTAAGTGTTGTCTGGATTTCTCTTTATACCCATCACTGCAGCCAGACCAAGTGCTCTGCAGGCCAGGGTTGGGTGCTTATTTATATGTTTGCCATGCAGAGGAGATTTGGCACAAAATTACCTGTTACGGGATCCAGAACCAAATTTAGTTCAGCTAAGTCAGGGTTGGGGTTTTTTGAAGTGGCACTTGAGTAAAATATTGCCTGGAAGCCACCCCACAAGCACACACCTTCTGGTTGGGGACCCAGTGGTAGACGGTTCTGTGTGGCTCCAGCTGACAGTTTCTGATGGCCCCAGGCACCAGTTCTCATCTTGTAACCCAATCTAGCCTGGAGAACATGCAGGCTTCTTCCTGCTCTGCCCACCCACCTTCACTCCCTTGGAGGAACTGAAGTTGGGGATGGAAAACACCAGATGGGCTGGGACAGTCAGATGGAGGAGTAGGTATCAGAAGGTCTTTCTGTCACCTGTTCAGCTTGGTCAGCCCCTCCCTTGCTGACAGACTGTTAGAGCAGAGAAGAAGGCATGGGAAATGCAAAACAATGCGGACCATCTCACACTCAGCAAGTTGGCAAATATTTGAAAGCCCAAGTGTGGGCTTCACACTGCTGTGGGATTGGAAATTGTGACAAATACTGTGCCAAGCAATGTGCAAAATCTCGTAAAGTTGTGTGTTGTGTACTTTACTGCCCAGCAACTCCACTCCTAGATATGTCCTAGAGGAGCTGCAGGTGGACAGAGAAATGAATTTAAGACTGTTCATTGCAGTATTGTCTTGATAGCAAGATTGGGAAAAGCCTGCATTTTATCAACAGAAGAACAGATAAATAAGTGGGTGGTTTGGGGCACTTTGGAAAGTGAATATGAAAGAGAGTTAAATCTTTCAACACAGATACATAAAAACAATGTTGAGAAAGTTGCAGAAGCTATATATGATGCAAGGTTTATGTGAAGTTAAACATACTGTGTATCTGTAGGCACATCAACTTATTTGTGTTTTGCTTTTTCTGTAAAATGGGATAGTAGTGCCAACTCACGGAGTGTTTGCGGGTGGGGGGTAGTTGATGAAATAATGCATGTAAAAGGCTTAGATAGTGTCTGGCATGTAAGTATTGTTGGCATATAATAGAAAGTGTTTTGCACAATAATCTTTCCTGTGGGTTCAAACAGTGTGAAGTAAGTGTAAACTCATGTATTGAAATGATGTGTGTACATCGCTGCTCTGCCTTCCCAGGGTGGGAGATGCTGATGGAATTGGGGAGGGAGGGGACCTGGGGCTTCAGTTGTGTTTTCTTTCTATCTAAAACTTGGTGCAAATGCATCAGAATTTTAAGATTTAACAGGATAGTGTGGTGGGTTCTTTTTAACTGTTTGCTTAAAGTATTTCAAAATAAAAATATTTCTTAAGCATGGTCTCTGCATGATGTTACTTAGAATAAGCCAGTTTATCTTTCAAGCCTTCAGTTTCCTTGCCTGCAAAAGTTGGGAGCAACACAATGGCTGTTAGTAAAGGAATGGTTAAATAACTCCAGAACATCTGTGATGCAATAGCATGCAACAGTTTGAAAAAATGAGGATATTCTCCATGTACTGACACATGATCTCCAAGACATGCAGTTTATAGGACATTTTAAACTCCATTTTAATTCCTCCTTGCCTAAAAAACATCAAGTGAAGCCAGAAGCTGTAGACTCATACTTTTTCTTTTCTTTATGTTTTTTTGAGACAGAGTCTCACTCTGTCACCCCGGCTAGAGTGCAATGATGTCATCATAGCTCACTGTAACCTCAAACTCTTGGGATCGAGCAATCCTGCCTCAGTCTCCCAAGTAGCTGGAACAACAGGTGTGCACCACCACACCCAGCTACTTTTTCTATTTTTAGTAGAGACAAGGTTTTAACTCTTGCTCAGGCTGGTCTCAAACTCCCATCCTTAAGCAATCCTCCCCCACGGCCTCTCAGAGTGTTAGGATTACAGGTGGGAGCCACCATGCCTGACCAATAATTTTAAGGAAGAAATAGGATCCCGAGGACAGAGATGCTTGTCAGCCATTCTGATTTATTAGATAGGTGAGTAAAAGGTGAGTTAATATTCACATACCAACTAACACACCTTTTTAAGTTAATGCCAACTTTACTAAGAACAGCAAGGAGATTTTCATCAGCCAGGTTTTAGTCAGGAGTCAGAAACCATGCCAATTAGTTAACAAAAAGAACTTACAAAGAAGTGTTGACTATATTTAAGTTACTAGGCAAAAAGAGAATGCTAAGATATGAAGGTGGCAGCTGCCAAGCAGCTACCATCCCAGGACTGGTGGAGCTGAAAGAGTCTGTCCCCATATTTGGTATTTGGCCTCTGACAGCCTTCAGGCCTTCCCCGTCACTCTGCCACGCATCTGGGCAAGCTGATAAGAAAGCCCAGGCACTTCTGCACCAGAGGGGAAGTGCCAACTATGCAAACCTTGGCTTTGGCTGTGCATGAAACCCTCATCCCCTAACCACAATAAAACCCAGAGCCACTTGCCCCGCCTGTCACTCCAGCCAAGCTGCCTGGCCCAGATGCCTGCTCCGCGCTTCCCTGAAAGCCTCACACGAATAGTAAGCTTTTTCATAATCTCTTGGTGTGTGTAGTATCATTGGACTTAACATCTGAACCATTCCGGGTGGTGGTAGAGTGTTGATCCCTCCTCCCATGGGGCAAACTTCAAAGCAAAAATAAAGGAGTGGTTAGAGTTGCCAAAGGCAGGAGATTGGAGAGAGGCCTTGTGGAGCTGAGCTGAGACTTGTGAGGAGGGACGTGCTGCTGGGCTGACACTGGTGTCTGAGCTCAGAGCAGGGGCCCCATGGCCTTGGGACCCATGCTCCTGTGGAGGGGCACTAGCCATGATGCTGGTGTCTGGCGAGAGGAGAAGGCAGAGGTCACAGATTGAACTGCGAATGTTGGTTGGACCCTGTTTTGCCTGAAGAACACGTAATGACCTCCCCTGGGGTATGTGTGTCTTCCAAAGCTCTGACACGTCTCAGGACCTACTCTCACCGCCCTTTTTTACATCTAAACCTGCAACTTGCCTCATGTTCCACTAGGCCTCAAAGGGAGGAGTACAGCGTGTGTGGAAATATACACCCCCGCAAATTGCATAATTTTGCCAACTTTTGCTGATAGAAACCTGAGGGATGTGTAGGAATGGATCTTAAGGGTGTAGGGTCATGGTGGAAGGAATATAAAGTCAAATCAGGCCAAATTTGTTGATATGGGATCATTAAGCAGAGATTTGGGGTTCATTGTTTTAACTTGAGAAGCTGAGAATGGCTCTAACAGTTGCTTGTTGCTTGAATGAATAGTGGACCTAAACATAGCCTACATCAAATGAGTTGAAATACCGGAACTTTCTCGGTATACTAGAGGCAGCTATCTCGATGCTCAGGGAGAGGGGGTGTATTTAGCATGTAATAACTGCCCACCCATCCAGGGAAGGTCCAGGCAACACTCCTTTCATCAAGACTATAAGAAATAAATTCATGTGGATGGTGCCAGGCATTCTACACAGGTCAAACAACAGTGGGCAATGCTACCACCGCCCTGGGATTCCTGAGTGCAATGGGGGAGATGGAATCCCGAGGAGGCCGGGCCCCTGTGCTGCCATTTGGTCATCAGCAAGATGGGTGTGGTCACTGTTGTGGACAGTGGCGCCAATGCAAAACTCTGAACAGTCTGATCCTTGGAGATCTTTGGTGTTGCCTAGTTGATCACAGTGTCTTGAGAACAGAAATAGAAGGGCCTAAATAAGTGGAAAAGCTCCAGGTCTAGTGAATCTGACCTGAATTATCAAGACATACTCCCTCGATCAATTCCCACACTTGCGCTAGTTCACAGACCCAGATCTTCCTGATTAAAGGATAGGCCAGGTCCCTTTGAGGCAAGACCCTGCTACAATGAGAGTAATTTACACTTTTAATCTTCCTAGCCTTCCCCAAAGGCACCCAGAGTGACTGTGCAAAGGCAAATAATCAGACTTTTCCGGGATTGCCAGACCCTGGTTCTGAACTAACCCTACTTACAGGAGACTGAAGATGCCACTGTGGTTCCTCAGAGTATCAGTGTGAGGAGGTCAGGTGATCAATGGGCTTTTTGACTTAGAGCCATCTCACAGTAGGCCTAGTGGGTTGCTGACTCCATGTTCTGGCTCTTTCCCCAGTTCTAGAATGCATACTTAGAATAGACATACTCAGCAACTGGCAGAATCCCATATTGGTTTCCTGACCTAATGAAGTCAAAGCTATTATTCCAAGAAAGGCCAAGAGGAAGCCACTAGAGCTGCCTCTACTTTACAAAGAATAGGAAAGAAAAGCAATGCTGCCATTCCTGAGAGACTGCCAAGATTAGCACCACCATCAGACTTGAAGCCACATCCCCATTCAACTCGCCTACTTGGCCTGAGCAGAACACAGGTGGATCTTGGGGAATGCCGAGTGGATTATCATACGCTTAATTGAGTGGTGACTCCAAGTAAGGCGCTGTGTCCACAGGTGGTTTCGGTGCTGAGCAAACAACACATCTGACACCTGGTTTGCAGTTACTGATTTAGTGAATGCTTTTTTTCCTCTGGATTTGTTAGTAAAGACCATCAAGAGCAGTTTGCTTTCAGCTGGATACAACTTCACCAGCCTACCTCAAGGCTGCATGCATTCTACAGCCCTGGTCACAATCCAGTTCACGGTTACTTTGGTCAACTTTCCACCCTTAAGAAAACACACTGGCCCATTACATTGGTGATATTATGTAATTTGGGATGTAGCAGCTACTCTAGACATGCCAGTAAGACATCGTATGCCATGGTGTGGGAAATGAACTCGGCTCAACTTGGCCAGGCAAACAACGTTTTACAGAATTCCTTTCTTCTCTCTCTCTTTCTAATAGTTATGTTTTTTGTATGCTTAGAGGAGCCACATGAGACAATTTTACATGCAGTTTTCTGGATCCTATGGTAACTCCGTGTCTAACATTTTGGAGAAATGTCCAGCCGCTTTCCAAAGGGGCTGCCACAGAGTCTCAGATAATTCTCAGCTCTCAACAACCATTCATCCTGTCGGTGGGGCCTCCCTGTGGCCTTCCAAATACTGTTTTGGGGCTGACGTGAAACCTGATCATAACCAGCTAATTTGCCAAGTCCAATGTAAAATGTTTAAAGTCACTCAGATTCTCGAGGCAGAAAGCGCGTTGGCACAGCCGTGGGGCCCTACCTCCGTGCGGGGCCCGGCACGACTGCCCAGGCTGCGCCCGCAGACCTGGCCCTGGCGCAGGTGCATTTGCCACGGTGAGGAGGAAAGTGAGCCGACGGGTCTCGGCTTTCCCACTCTGTCTCCAGGTCTGGTCCCTCTGTGATCAGGATTCAGAACTTGTTCCTTGAATTCCTGAACCTTCCCCACTCTTCCTCCCTGGGCATTTTTCTCCATAACCCCACGACACCCAACAGGAATGGCCTGACATGGCTTCTGGGAACAGCTCTCTGGGGCTGCGCTGAGTCGTCTGTCCTGTGTCCTTTTTGTCCTTTCCTTTTCCTTCCTGTTTCCGCATCGTAAACCTGCCCTTCTATCTCGGCTGCAAACATGAAACGAGCTATGAGGCCTCGCTTCCCAGAAAGCTTTGGGTTGTGAGTGACCGAGAATGTCTATTTCCTCTCCTCTGGTACTTTATCTTCCAGTCTCCTTGTTAGGCTGCCGAACAGCTCACCTGCTGAGATCTTCCGTGCTCGCTGGCGAGATCTACTCTTCCATGTGAAAACGAATCAACCAGAGGTTCACAGCAGGGGGGAATCTGTTGAACAGAATTTTAATGAAAAGGAAGCAGACACAAAGGAATATATACTGTATGATTCCACCGACTCACAGTGGAAAACGCAGGAAACAAAGAACAGGCATATTTCTGCCTTGCCAGCCCTGTTAGGCTCTACCTTCAAGGGATGTAAGAGGGAAACTGCAAGGTGGGAGGAATGGAGTGTGATGGTTAATTTTAGACATCCACTTGGCTGAGCCACGGGGGACCCAGGTATTTGGTCAAACATTATTCTGTGTGTTTGTGTGAGAGTGCTTTTGGATGAAATTAACTTTTAACTCGGTGGACTTTGAGTGAAGCAGATTGTCCTCCAAAATATGGGTGGGCCGTAGCCAATCAGTTGAAGGCCTCCATGGAACAAACGTTTGGTCTGCCCTGAGCAAGAGAGAATCTTCAGCTGCCTGTCTTCATACTTGGTCCACACCATCAGACCTTCCCGTTCTACAGCAGGTGGCCTTGGGATTCTAACTGGAGCATTGGTTTTCCTGGGTCCCCGCAGCCTGCAGATTTGGGACTTGCCAGTCTCGGTAATTGTATGAGCCAGTTCCTTGTAATAAGTCTTTCTATACATATAAATGAGTATAGTTGTGTCCTGATAAAACTTCCTTTAGGGACATTGACATTTTAATTCCATGTAATCTTCACATACACTCATTCACTTACTATTGTCTATGGTCGCTTTCCTCCTTCGGGCCAAAAGTAGCCCACAACTTTTGTACAATGTCACTACTGATATGGACATGGTTAAACAATATAGTTTACTTTTGCCTGTTTTTGTGCTTTTATATAAATGGAATAAAAATATTTTGTCTTGTACCTTTTGCTCAAAATTATGTTTGTCAGTTTTATGCATGTCCTTGCATGGAGTGTGCTTTATTTTCATTTTTCTGTGGTATTCTGTCTGTGACAATGACACAGTTGATATCCAGTCCACTCCTGATGGACGGTGGCTCTTTCCTGTTTTTGTCCTGGCTCACTGGGGATGCCTGTGTCCAACTCTATGAAATAATGACAGATTATAGCTGGCCTTTCTTATGGTCTGGAACGTGAGAAAAGACCACCCAAAGACCGAACCCGAGTTGTGAGTCTTTATTAGCTGGCCAGCGACTACCCTGCACTTCGGGGAGGCAGGCACAGAGAGCAGGCCTGTACCAGGAAAGGCTGGCTCTTTTAAAGGCAAAAACCACACTCTGAAAAATTATCTAATTGCTCAAGCACAGTTACAGAAGCCAAAGAAAGCGTCAATCTTAGCCAGGATACATTCTTATCTTGTTTCGGCAGAATTGGGGAGGGGTGGGGAACCTTCCATAGCCTTGAGGTGGGTTTCATAGGAGTCACCTGCCACTGCTAAAATTTAACTCGGAAGCAGTATGATCACAGACAACATCAATCTTAATTAAAAAATACATACCACATTCTGTTATCTAGGTATACGAGGCACTATTGGGCACCTCAGTGCTCCAGGGCGTTTCGCCCCTGGGCTAGCTGCTATTTTATCTAATGGATGGTTGTGCATAATGCACCACCCTCCCCCTTATTTTCCAAGCTTACTCATTGAGCAGCAGCGAGATGGCAGGTTCGGAGTCAGATAAAGGTCAGCTGAAAATTTTCCACTCTCCTAAGCAAGCAAGCAAGCATAACACAGAAGCTAATTGGCTGCCTATGGTCCCTACATCCTAACAGCCTTTGAGTTCCTTTTAGTAACACTCAATTTGGCCAGATCTCTTCATGTTTGCTAATCTAATCAGCTTGTTATGAAAAGCAACGCCTTAAATCCTGTCTTTGCTGGCAGCGCCAACATTTTTTTTGTGACAGAGTCTCTCTCTGTTGCCCGGGCTAGAGTGAGTGCCATGGCGTCAGCCTAGCTCACAACAACCTCAAACTCCTGGGCTCAAGCAATCCTACTGCCTCAGCCTCCCGAGTAGCTGGGACTACAGGCACGTGCCACCATGCCTGGCTAATTTTATATATATATATGTATGTATTTTTAGTTGTTCAGCTAATTTCTTTCTATTTTTAGTAGAGACAGTGTCTCATTCTTGCTCAGGCTGGTCTCGAACTCCTGACCTTGAGCGATTCGTCGCCTCGGCCTCCTGGAGTGCTAGGATTCCAGGAGTGAGCCACCGCTCCTGGCCGAGTGCCAGTGTTATCTCCTGCCCAAACTGTCTCTTCAGAGCCACAGCTCACAACTGCCTTGGTTGGATGTGCAGAAGTGGTTGGTTTTTTCAAACTTGCAAGACATCAAATTATTCAACTGCCCGTGTGGGAGGCCAGCTGAGAGTTACCTGTGTTAGCAACACGTTGGGTCCCTCCAGCTTTCCTTGCACGGTGGCTAACTCCAGCCAGAGACCATCTTTCTCATGGGACTTTGTTAAAAGCAGCCAAGAAGGAGCCAACAAAACCACCAGTCTGGACTCTTACTGTTTTCCTAATACCACAGATTTGGTCAAGTTAGAATCTACCTTCAGAATTGCAACAGGTTGCAACGCGGCAGACATTGTACATGAGGTGCCAGCCTCCTGGTCTCCACCTCACTCAAACCCAGCGTTTCTATTATTGGGAAAAAGTGAAGAATGGACACTGGTGGTTTCCAACCTTGTCTGGGGCACAGCTTCCTCTGGCATTATGTTCTTCGTTCCCAGAAAACACTCTAGACCGAGCTACATTTGGCTCTGTCTGGAGAAGGCGTTTCGGTTGTCACAACTGGGAAGAGCGTGACATCTGGTGGGTAGAGGACGAGGATGCTGCCAAACGTCCTGCACTGCTCAGCACTGCCCCCCAGGCACAAGGAATTATCTGGCCCCAAATGTCACGAGTGCCGCAGTCAAGGAACCCTGCTTTAGACACATTCCTTTCCTTTTCACTCCTACTGATATGTTTCCTTTCCAAAATGGAAAAAGCACACGTTAGCACGAAGAGCGAGCCACTGGATATTGTTTTAAAAGGAATTTATTTAAAAGAATTACAGATACATATGGGAAAAATGATAGACATCCAGATAAAGTTCTCAATTTTAGATGCTGGGACAATTCAAAGGTCAAACCAGGTCACGGTTTGTGTCCGGCTGGGAGCCGGTGAGGACCCGGTGCAGGGTCCTCTGGGTGAGGCACATGGCCTGGAGGATGGCTTTCTTGGGACTGAAGGATGTCACCTTCTTGGACAAATCATAAATATAGGAAAGCCCTCGGGCCGGGAGGGTGCCTTGGCAGGCAGGAAGCGCAGGGCTCAGTGGCCTGCATGGTGGGGGAGGGGCCGGGAATGGCGAGCACTGCATACTTGTGTCCAGCAGCAGCCAAGGGCTCCTGGCATCGGGGAGCACCAGGCCGGGGCTCCACGGGACACTTTCTCTCAGGTGGGTAGTGGCGGAGGATGCCACTGGACTCAGTGTCTGTGCAGGGACCTGAGGTGGGCCTTGGGGACAGGGGGGAGCCACATCCCCGGCCCCACATCCAGAGAGGGGTGCACACGGCGGCGGCGGCTGCAGAGAAGCAGGAGATGTCGCAGGAGCAGCTATCTTCAGTGTGGGGTAGGTTATCTGTTCTGTGACTTCATTGACCCACATAAACGTGGGTAGAGGCTTATTCCTCGACCCCAACTGACTTCTAGACATCTAAAGGAGAGGGAAAAAAAACCTTGGTGAGTCCTCCACCAGCAAGCATTAGAGGGATCCACTCCTCTCCCTGGGGGTTCCAGGAACCCCCATGGTCTGTGGGCTTCAGTAAACTGACCCATGGCCCCGGGGGGAGGGGCGGGTACAGCGTTTCTCAAACACTTCAGAAGCTTTTCCAGGAACAGGAGAGGTCTCTTAAATTGTCCAAGTTAATCTCTAGGTTTGAGCAAACCTTCAGTAAGAAACACACTGGAGGCCGGACTCGGTGGCTCACGCCTGTAATCCTAGCTCTCTGGGAGGCCGAGGCAGGAGGATTGCTCAAGGTCAGGAGTTTGAAACCAGCCTGAGCAAGAGCGAGACCCCATCTCTACTAAAAATTAGAAAGAAATTAATTGGCCAACTAAAAATAGATAGAAAAAATTAGCTGGGCATGGTGGCGCATGCCTGTAGTCCCAGCTACTCGGGAGGCTGAGGCAGCAGGATCACTTGAGCCCAGGAGTTTGAGGTTGCTGTGAGCTAGACTGATGCCACGGCACTCTAGCCTGGGCAACAGAGTGAGACTCTGTCTCAAAAAAAAAAAAAAAAAAGAAAGAAAGAAAAACACACTGGACATCTCCATGTCACCTCCTTCTCAAAATAATGGGCTTTGCCAATGGCCGTTTCCTCTGAAATTACAGGTTCTATTTCTCTTCTAAGATATGAAGTGATCCTTCTTCCCAGTGAAATAGGAGAGCCCTCACCTTCTAGGGTCCTGGGCAGGTTTCGCGTGTGAGCAGCCCACTGGCTGGCCGACGCCGGGTGGACCAGGCGGGCCTGGCCAGCGGGAAGTCTCTGGGCTTGGGGCTGGACGCTCGCCGGGCCTGGCAGAAGGAAGGCTGCGAAGGGAAGGGCCATGAGGAGGAGAGGCGGGAGCCTGGCAGTCCCTTCCCGCCCCACAGCGCTCTCCTTTTATCCTGTGGCAGCAGCACCTGGCCTTTGTGACGCCAAGGTCCCCGGCCAATCACAGCGCTCACGCGCGCTCTCACAATGGCCTCGAGGCACAGCCCTGGAGACGCTGCCCTGAACCCTTCCCCTGGGCCTCCAGAGCATTCTGAATTCGTGGACAAGAGCTCCTTTACTACCAGTATAAGTACCAATACCTGTTTCTTTACTTCCACTAGTGGGCATAGCTGGCCGGGGGCAATTATTTGAGTCATACGAGCCTTCGTCTCTGGGAGATTCAATTCCATTCAATTTTTGAGAGTAGACTGTATTTGAAGGGTGACTTGACACCTGTGATGTCATTTAAAAATATGACCAGATAAAATTAGGTCAGTGTTTTGGAAGGGAATCTCTAACAAGATTATTTAAGAGTATGCCAAAATCACTTAGCGTTAACAGAATAATTTGGCGACAAAAAGGAACCGCTACTAATCTGGGCATTGAACAACTTAGTGATTTTATACAAGTGACCGACTATATTAGGGTTTCCCAGAAAAACAGAACCCAGCATCTCCCCGACGGGCAGGGGGTGTGGGGAGGAGAATTGTAAGGAATCGGTTCACACAATTGTGGAGGTTGAGAAATCTTGACCCACCCAGGACAGCTGATGGTGAAAGTCTGAGTCCAACTCCATTACAGTTCAGCTAACACATCAAATATTTATGAAATGTAGCATTGTAAGAAACTTATAAAATTAAACTTTAAGAAAACCACATCCATTATTTCTATCATTATCTTAGCTATATACTTTATACTTATAACTTTTAATTTTAAATAAGTTATGGAAATAGAGGAAACATTTACTTTTAATATCAATGAAGGAAATTGAGGAAGTTTGAATCATGACAAATCTAATTTTGGACTTCAACTAGCTGAAATATTATACTAACATTTTTTTAAAAAGATAAACTTATAAAGACTGAATCATGCTAAAGTTTTTATTTATTTTAAAATTGATGGCTGGGTGAGGTGGTTCACGCCTGTAATCCTAGCAATCTGGGAGGCCAAGGCGGGAAGATCGCTCAAGATCAGGAATTCGAGACCAGCCTGAGCAAGAGGGAGACACTCAGAAAGCACCTGAGGTTGTAGAGAAGGTTATTTTATTTTTTTACATTTATTGTGCACTTTCTTTCTTTTCTTTTTTCTTTTTTTTGAGTTAGAGTCTCACTCTATCTCAGAAATTAATTGGCCAACTAAAAATATATAGAAAAAATTAGCTGAGCATGGTGGTGCATGCTGTAGTTCCAGCTACTTGGGAGGCTGAGGCAGCAGGATTGCTTGAGCCCAGGAGTTTGAGGTTGCTGTGAGCTAGGCTGACGCCATGGCACTCTAGCCCAGGCAACACAGTGAGACTTTGTCCTAAAAAAAAAACAAAAACAATGTGATGCCTTTTCTTATCTCAGAGCCAATTTAAAAGGTTATTAGGCCTGGTAGCTCACGCCTGTAATCCTAGCACTCTGGGAGGCTGAGCGGGTGGATTGCTCGAGGTCAGGAGTTCGAAACCAGCCTGAGCAAGAGTGAGACCCCTGTCTCTACTATAAATAGAAAGAAATTAATTGGCCAACTAATATACATAGAAAAAATTAGCGGGGCATGGTGGCACATGCCTATAGTCCCAGCTACTTGGGAGGCTGAGGCAGGATTGCTTGAGCCCAGGAGTTTGAGGTTGCTGTGAGCTAGGCTGATGCACTCACTCTAGCTTGGGCAGCAAAGCGAGACTCTGTCTCAAAATAATAATAATAATAAATAAATAAAAGGTTATTAAGTAAACATATTTTCTAGTGTCCCTAAAAAGAAATGTAATTTAATAAATTTTTCCTTTTTCTTTAGACAATTTTGACTTTATCTGAACTAAAAATTCCTAGAGTATATGCATAATGACTGAATGCAATTCTTTTTAAGTCTTTCATGTTTTCAGAGGGAAAAAGAGAGGAAGGGTCATAGAAAAGATGAGAAGGAGAGGGCTTTAGACAAATAGTCATTTTTTTCTCTGTACTGAGAGGGGAAAGTTCAGACATGTGCACATATACACACACACACACACACACATGAGTGTCATATTCTGGTTCATGGCAATCCTATCAAGCTATAAGATTTTTAAAGCCAGCATTTGGAAAGGAAGGAAGTGATGTCTCCCATATGAAACAAAATGATCTGTCATCTAGGCAACTGAGACAATTTCCTCAGGAGAGGTCTTCCATTCTTGGTATCTAGAGTCTCCCTAAAATGTTGAGCCAAATGTTGACATCTGTGAAATAGAGTGATTTGCCAGCCAACATTTTTGGTTCCCTAACATAGCTGCAGTTTCTGACTTGAAGTCATCCACAAAATGTGGAAATGACACTGGAAATGTCAGTATCTAGGCCGGGCGCGGTGGCTCACACCTGTCATCCTAGCACTCCGGGACACCGAGGTGGGTGGATCGCTCAAGGTCAGGAGTTCGAAACCAGCCTGAGCAAGAGCGAGACCCCCCATCTCTACTAAAAAAAATAGAAATTAATTGGCCAACTAAAAATATACAGAAAAATTAGCTGGGCATGGTGGCGCATGCCTGTAGTCCCAGCTACTCGGGAGGCTGAGGCAGGAGGATCGCTTGAGCCCAGGAGTTTGAGGTTGCTGTGAGCTAGGCTGACACCACCGCACTCTAGCCTGAGCAACAGAGAGAGACTCTGTCTCAAAAAAAAAAGAAATGTCAGTGTCTAAAGGGGCTTATTTTCTATTAGTTACAGCAAAGGCATAGTTTAGAGAGACATTTTTTGAGTTTGCATGGTGTTTAGAAGCCTTCTCATACCCATTAGAAGCAGCAGACCATTGGACAGTTGGAGTTTTGCTTTGTTTGTTGTTATTGCTGTTCTAGGGCGACTCTCAAACTCCTGGCCTCAAGTCATTCTCCTACCTTGGCCTCCCAGAGTGGGGGATGACAGGCGTGAGCCGCCACGCCCGCCAAGGGCAACTCTCAAATGAACAATTTTGTCCATGTCAAAGTTCCCCCAAAGTGGCCACTATAGTTGTAAGTTATTTTTGGTGACACTCTGCTGGTCAGAAAGCTATGCACAGGCATTAGCATTACAGTGAGAGAACATAAAGGAGGCAGGTGTTTGGCCCGAATTTTGGATGGAAAGACCCTGTAAGAACTGCCCCGTGTCCATAGGTGGGTGCTTGTGGAACTTGGTGTCTTGGAGCCTGAGACCAGTCACCACCAGTCAGAGTTTTCAGTGGCTTGGAAGACGAAGCCCTCAGAGCGCGTCTTATGGAGAGCTGGGCGCCAGGGTGGGAAGGGCACAGTCTCCCGCTGGCCTCGCCGCGAGCTCAGTTTCCACCAGCAGGTGCGATGAAGCAAGGGAAGGAGTTACTGTTTCCTGGGAAACCGGCCCTGTGTGGACAGAGACGGAGGGACTAGCTGGGGACGGAAGGTGAGGCACAGGCGCGCCTAGCCAGCACGGTGGCCAGGAGGGAAGCGCTAGAGGGAGGGTAGGTGGCATCTCCCTGCCCTTGGCCATGGCCCCGTCAGTCTGGGGACGGGCCCACGGCAGCCCCTGGGAAGACTCGAGGCGGCCGGCACTCCTGGCGGAAGTTGCCTGTGGGCAGGCTGCTTGGCAGAGAGCACCTGAGGTCATAGAGGAGGTTATTTTATTTTTTACATTTATTGTGCTCGCTCTTTCTTTCCTTCTCTCCTCTCTCTCTCTGTCTCTCTCTCTCTCTCTCTTTCTTTTTCTTTCTTCTTCTTCTTCTTTCACATGAGTCCACTTTGTTGTCCAGGCTAGAGTGAGTGCCGTGGCTCAGCTAGCTCACAGCAACCTCAAAACTCCTGGGCTCGAGCGATCCTGCTGCCTCAGCCTCCTGAGTAGCTGGGACTACAGGCATGCGCCACCATGCCCGCTAATTTTTTCTATATATTTTTAGTTGGCCAATTAATTTCTTTCTAATTTTTAGTAGAGACAGGGTCTCACTCTTGCTCAGGCTGGTTTCGAATTCCTGACCTTGAGCGATCCTCCTGCCTCAGCCTTCCAGAGTGCTAGGATTACAGGCGTGAGCCACCGTGCCCGGCCTGTGCACTTTATTTCTACGATGACATTTAACATATAATGAAATAATTATACATACCTCTCTGCCAGTGATCATCTGTATTTGCAGCCGCTCCCCGGCGCTAGCATCACCGCCTCGCTCCGCCTCAGGTCAGCGGGCGCTAGATTCTCATAGGAGCCGCAACCCGGATCCCTCGCACGTGCAGTGTACAGCAGGGCTCAGGCTCCTGGAAGAGTCCGATGCCACCGCTGATCCGACAGGAGGCGGAGCGCAGGTGGTGACTCCAGCGATGGGGAGCGGCTGTAAGTACAGATGAAGCTTTGCCCATCATCCGTGGAGGAGACTGATTTGTCACTTAGCTCCAGTCGTGCTGGGACTGCCCGCCGTCAGGCAGGCACCACCACGCAGGTGGGCAGACAGGCGCGGCTGTGTGGCGAGGGCCAGCCCCAGGGCACGGCCATTCCACCTCCCGCCAGTGCGAGGGGCTGGCTCCGGCCCGCAGAGCTGGGGGCCCCAGGTCGGGGGCAGCCTGGGGCGGGTTCCAAGTGGGCCCCGGCCGGGGCAGAGTCTCGGTCAGCCACTGGCAGCGACTTGGGGAACAGGGTGGAACTCTCTGGGAGAGGAGAGTGTGAAGAGGGTGTGAGGCTCAGGGCAAGCCAAACCCAGGGGAGTGAGGAGTGGGTCCCTGGGCGGTTCCTAATCCAAGAAGACCTGGATCGCTGAACAAAACTAGCCCCGTCAGAGCAGGACATCCCCATGCCCTCCTTGTCTATAGATTCAAATTCCAGAAAAAAACCCGGTGCTACTTTGGGGCCACGTGATGGGCCTGCCAGAAATCAGGAGCTGCGGGAAGGGGAGGTGATGGCAGGGCCACCGCTAGGTTGGGGGCATCGGAGGGCCGGGGTGGGCTGAGGTGTGAGTGTGGGGCTGCCCTGGAGGGCTCTGAGGTTGCCAGGCGGAATCTAGGACGGGATGGAGCCAGAATATTGCGTTATGCAATAAAGATCAGGTTGCTAGGAGCCCTCAGCCTTCTAATGCTCCTCCTGCTCTCTGAAGCTCCCTCGAAGCCTCCTCCACCCCAGAACCTTCCAATGGGTGAGCTCCGAACCCTTCATACCTGTCCAGTCCCCCAGCTCCTGGCCAGCCCCTCCCCGTTCAAGCCACCCTGCCCTGCTTCCAAACGCCCTGGGTGTGGGCAGTCACTGCAGGACCTACCGACATCCTGGTGGCCTGTGGCCACCACACACAGGATGCAGGTGGCAGAGCCTTGAATGCTGCTGCCGACCTGGCTCGTATTCCACGTGGTGCATCTTGAAGTTTCTCAGGGGAGATAGTCACTGTGTCCATTCTAAAGAAGGCAGAGCAATGTCATGGAAAGAAAGCAGAAAGAGTCACCCAGACTGGCAGCCCGTCTCCTGCCCTGGTCCTGGGCAAGTGTTCACATGGTGTATGAGTCTCCTATCGCCACCGTGACAAATGGCCACAGATGTCGCTGCTTAGAACAACACGCATTTAGTATTTTTTTTTCTTTTGAGACAGAGTCTCACTCTGTTGCCCAGGCTAGAGTGCCATGGCATCAGCCTAGCTCACGGCAACCTCAAACTCCTGGGCTCAAGCGATCCTCCTGCCTCAGCCTCCCGAGTAGCTGGGACTACAGGCATGCACCACCATGCCCGGCTAATTTTTTCTATATATTTTTAGTTGGCCAATTAATTTCTTTCTATTTATAGTAGAGATGGGGTCTCGCTCTTGCTCAGGCTGGTCTCGAACTCCTGACCTTCAGCGATCCTCCCTCCTCGGCCTCCCAGAGTGCTAGATTTACAGACGTGAGCCACCACGCCCGGCCACAACACGCATTTAATGTCTCTTACCGCTGCAGGTCCGAGTCTGGCGAGCTCAGCGCAGCGCTGGGCTTAGGGTCACACAAGACCAACAGCAAGTCTTGTCTACTTCGGGCTCTTATCAAGGGCTCTGGGGAAAATCCATTTCCAGGCTCATTGGTTTTTCTGACACGGTTTCCACCTACCTCCTTCCATCGTCAAGCCGGGCGCGTCCTTGTCAGGCTTCGGGTCTCTCCCACTCTTCCTGCTGCTGCGTCTCTCTGATCCCTGTCAGAGAGAGCTCTCTGCTTTTCAGGTTTGATTAGATCGGGCCACTGGGATAATCCAGGATAACATCCCTAGTTTAAGGTAATTTTAATTACGTCTGCAAAGTCCCTTTGGAAGACGAAGCCCTCAGAGCGCGTCTTATGGAGAGCTGGGCGCCAGGGTGGGAAGGAGCACAGTCCTCCCCGCTGGCGCTCGCCGCGAGCTCAGTTTCCACCAGCAGGTGCGATGAAGCAAGGGAAGGAGTTACTGTTTCCTGGGAAACCGGCCCTGTGTGGACAGAGATGGAGGGCGACTAGCTGGGGACAGAAGGTGGAGGCACAGGCGCGCCTAGCCAGGCACGGTGGCCAGAGGGGAAGCGCTAGAGGGAGGGTAGGCGGCATCTCCCTGCCCTTGGCCATGGGGGCCGTCATCTGGGACGGGCCCGAGGCAGCCCGCTGGGAAGACCGAGCGCGTACCCTGGGCGAAGTTGCCTGGTGGCAGCGCTGTGGCAGAGAGGGTGGGGGCGCGGCACCCTGGAGCGGTTGCATAGAGGAGGTATGTTGACTTTTTTACGCGTTCTAATGTGCTCGGCCGTCCTTTCGCTGCGCGGGTCGGCTCGGTCTTGCGTCGCGTGCGCTCGCTGCTGCGTCTCGCTCTCGCTGGTCTTGTTTTGCTTTCGCTCTCTTCGTGCGTTTCTTTCACAGAGTAGGTTGTTGTCTCAGCGTATAGGGAGTGCCGGTGGCAGTCCAGGCCTAGCTCACATGCAACTCAACTCCTGGGTCCAGGCACCTCTGCCTCAGCCTCCTGAGTACCTGGATACAGCAGGCGCCAGCCGGGGGAGTCCAGCTGTGGTTCTAGGGGATTTTGAGGTGGCCAGGTATTCGTTCTAAGTTGTGGAGTAGAGGACAGGGCGTCGGACTCGTGCTCAGGCTGCTTGTCGGCAATTCCTGACCCTGAGCGATGCTGCCTGGCCTCAGCCTGTCCGAGACGGTAGTTAGCAGCGAGGCACCCGTGCGCCGGCCTGCAGTCGTCTACGAGACAGTGAGCATATAATGAATAGGTAGAGCATACCGCTGCTGCCAGTGATCTCATCGGTGTTGCAGGCCGCGCCTGCCCGGCGCTAGCGATCACCGCCTCGCGCCGCCTCAGGGCAGGGCGCTAGATTCGTACAGGAAGCCGCAAGCCGGGCCCGTCGCACTGCAGTGGTACAGCAGGGCTGCAGGCTGCCTGAAGGTCGATGGGCACGCTGAGTCTGACAGGAGCGGAGCGCAGCGGGGTGACTCCCAGGCGATGAGGGAGCGGCGGAGAGTAAGAGTGAAGAGCCGCGCGCAGATCTGAGTGGAGAAGCTGAGGTCACTCATGAGGCCTCCAGAGTCGAGGGCTGAAGCGGTACAACAGCCGCGCGTCAGCCACCGCACGGCGGCAGCAGGCAGAGCACCACGACCAGCACGGGTGGCAGGACGAGAGGCAGAGCGGCCGGTGGTGGGCCGAGATGGCGACAGTCCCTGCGATCCCCTGACGCTGGCCCACGACGGCGGGGCGCGCCGCTGGCAGATCCGCGCAGGCGCTGCGAGAAAATAGCCAAGCTACTGAAGCCACCAAAGTGCGGGCTGGGCTGCCGGCCAGCGCGAGAGGAGCGTGCGGGGCGGGAGGGGAGTCCCCAGCGCATCGAGCGGGCGCACTGGGGCGGGTTCCAAGGGCCGGCGCGGAGAGTCTGGTAGCCACTGGCAGGAGTTGAAAAGGGCACGGACATGGCGAAGACAGGAGGGAGGGGTGGATAGCGAAAGATAGACCTGCGCGTCTGCATCGCGAGGGAGGTGAGAGGTGAGTGGAGAGGA